GACTTGGGAAAAATTATTAGACTTTTCTGACTCTCAGCTTTCTAATATACGATGAAATAATATCTCAAAGGGCTATGGTAAATAGCAAGTGAGAAAATTCCCCTGGAAATATTTCTATATCTGAGCATGCTGAGCAAGTGTAAGAATAATTTGTGTTTGGTTTTCCTTTCATCCTTTGGAATGCCTGTAATAAGTCATTTAATAGACCAATGATGGAGGAGATGCAAGTCTAAGGGGCCAACCGGTGGACATACACCTCTCCTCTCTGCTCCTGGAACAGTGGCAGCTGCTGTTACCGGTCAGAAGAGACCCCCGCCCCCCCCATTGTTCATGGGAGTGGAATTCTTATGATATCCCGATAAAAGGAATTTTCTGAGACCCACACAGGAGAATGAGTGACTTTTATTTGCGTGGAATTAAATCCCTGAGTTGTGGTCCCATTTCCCTTTGTCACTCCAAGGAAGACGTGTAGCTATGGCTCTCATTAGGGCTGGAATTCGAGCCAGTGTCCAGAGTTTCTGGTCCATGTTGATGCAGTTCAATCCAGCATCAGGCTAGCGTGGTTTGTGTTTCCAGCTGTAATCCATCAGCCCATGGCATGCGGGGTTCGCAGGGCCACATGGCTGTGGAGGAAACATGGGCAGGAGCAAAGCCAAAGGAGCCAGAGAGCAACCAGAGGGAGAGGGAGTTCCTATTTTGAAGGATTATGTATCCCCAAATTTTGGCCGACTTGCAGTGGCCCGCCCACTTGGCCAACCCATGGTTCCCTAGGCTAGATTGACAGGCACCTTCCCTAACTTCACTGTGCATGCATAGATGTCCCCTTTGTTGGACCCTCTCCCCCAGTGTTTTGCAGGGAATGGGCCAGTGGTTCCCTGGGCAGTGTGAAACTGCAGCTTCCTGGTGAAGTTGCCCAAATGACCACGCTTCTAATGTCTGGCCTCCCTTTTGCTCCTTTCCTATTATGAATAGCTAGCTCATTACAACGGCATCGCTACTACAATGAAAGGGGTTGACAAAATGCCCAGGTATCCTACATCCATGACTGCATGCGTTTCCCAGCCAAAAGGAAGATAAAAATCTCTTTTAGAGTGAAGATCAAAGTTAATGCGCTGGAAGAAATTGATGGTGTAACTTTCTTTTATCTCTTGGCTCTCAGGAAATCTTAATTAATATGCTCATCACTTCTTTTCTGGGTGGCATTTCCATCAACCAGAAAGAGGGGGCATCCAGATGTAAGAGTGAGCTCTTGATTGCTTCCCACAGCAATGGAGAGTGGCCCTTCTCCATCTGTGTCAATCCCTTTCTCTAGAGCAGTGGTTCTCAACCTTCCTAATGCTGCGACCCTTTAACACAGTTCCTCATGTTGTGGTGACCCCCAATTTCATTGTTACAAATTGAACATAATTAAAGCATAGTGACTAATCACAAAAACAATATGTAATTATATGTTTTCCGATGGTCTTAGGCGACCCCTGTGAAAGGGTCATTCGACCCCCAAAGGGTCGTGACCCACAGGTTGAGAACTGCTGCTCTAGAGGTTTAAGGGAATTTGTAGGGGTGTGGGGTGGTAACAGATTGACTTCTCAAATGTAAAATTCCTTCTCTACAGATAGATGTACATGACAGAGGTGGCATGAGATTATCAGAATAACAGCCCGAAATCTCACAAGGGGCATGTTGGGAAAGAAAGTGGCCCTGTGAATCAAATTTATCCTCAGAGCACCTTTCTCTCACCCCATATGTTTGCAAAGGAAATCCCCCAAGTTCCAGAAGATTCAAGAGATTGGAAGAGCCTCAGGTTTTAGTCTGGTCCAGGATGACGTTTGGATAAAAATACACGGGTCTGGACTGGCTCCACTTTCTCCAGCCTCGAAGGCTGGATGTGGAGCTTCCCCAGGGGAAGCCAGGGGTCAGGCTCTATGTCATTGTGTCCTGGTGGCCCAGGGAGGACTTGATTTCACAGATGGGGAAGCTGAGGCTCAGAGAGCTTGTAGGTGGCTCAGTCACACTTGGAACCCACGTCTGCCAGCATGTAAAGCTGGTCCTCATAACCAGCGATCACAGTTGATGTTGTGCCAAGGGCCTCGAGTTCTCTCCTCAGCCTCCCTTCCCAGGTCATCATGTTACGGTCAGCTCAGCAGAGCCTGAGACTCAGGCACGTGTTTGCCTGGAACGTCCATGTTATATTAATCCGTCCTTAGACAGAAGGAGCTACTCATGACCCCAGGTGGATATCCTGGAGCCTAGTGAGCTGTATCCATGACCTCATGCCTCTGTTCTGGCCTGCCCTGCTAACAGCTCATCCCTCCTGCCTAGCAGTAGACAGTCATCTAGGATTGCAGCCACCCCCGAGGCTCAAGTCCCTCTCAGCTTCCTGATTTCACTATCTGTCTGGTCTTTCCAGCCCTCTTCTGCCTTCTTCTCATTTGTTGCCCAAACACTCTGACTTGGTCTTCTTCTTTTGGTTTGTAAATATATTTTTATTGACTTCAGAGAGGAAGGGAGAGGGAGAGAGAGATAGAAACATTGATGATGAGAAACAAGCATTGATTGGTTGTCTCCTGCACGCTCCCTACTGGGGACCAAACCCAAGCATATGCCCTGACTGGGAATTGAACTGTGACCTCCTGGTTCAGAGGAGCCACAGTGGCTGGGCTGACTTTGTCTTCTTTTCTGTCTTATCAATACCTCTAGGCATCTTCTTCCCACAGTGGTTAGGGATTTTTAGTAATGCCCTCAACCCTGAGGGGGGAAAAAAGGGTGTGATGTGGGGCCCCACCTACACTAGAGGGCAAGACTCAGGTCCTCCCAGAGCAAAGCAAAGGACTCCAGCTTGGTCCTTGTAGAGGCAGCAGGAGCAGGCCAGGCTGCTGGCTGGGGACTGCAGATCTCTGTGTGTGATGGAGGGAAAGGTGCGAGTGCCAGAGAGACTGGGAAGAGTCTGCCAATTGGAGAGATTGGGAAGGGCTGCTCCTCCCAGTGTCTGTCTTCTGCACTGAGCTGGAGAAAGTTCTCCTGCCCCTCACAGCACACCCTACTCCTAGACCGAGGTTTAAGAATGTTTGTGCAGGAAGGTGATTTGGAGCAGGGCTCTGCAACCTCTCCCTATAAAGGGCCGGAGAGTAGATATTTTAGGCTTCGTGGGCCACACAGTCTCAGTCACAACTACTCCTCTGTGTCACTGAAGCACAACAGCAGCATAGATCAGTGAACAAATGGGCATAAACTGTATTTATGAACACTGAAATGGGAATTTCACAAACTTTTCACGTCACAGAATATCATTCTTTTGATTTAAAAAAAAAGTATCTTAAAGTCTGAAAACCAGCACTGGCCAGTGTGGCTCAGTATTTAGAGCATCGGGCCCACATACCAAAGGATCTTGGGTCTGATTCACAGTCAAAGGCACATACCTGGGTTGCAGGTTTGATCCCTGCCCATTGAGACGTGTGCGGAAGGCAACCAATCGATGTGTCTTTCTCACATTGATGTTTCTCTCTCTCTTTCTCCTCCTCCCTCCCCCCTCCCTTCCACGCTCTCTAAAAATCAATGGAAAAAATATCATTGGGTGAAGATTAACAAACCAACCAACCAACCAACCACAAACAAACAAAAATGTATAAACCATTCTTATATCACAGAGCTAAGCCATTCTTAGCTTATACTTGGCCTGGAATATGCCAAGTATAATAGACCCTGATTCAGAGTCTAGTGGTTGTTTTTTTTTTTGGGGGGGGGGGGAGGGAGTCTAGTGTTTTCCCAACTGTTTCCAAGGGGTGTGGTCAAACACTCAGGGAAATGCTGGGCTAAGCAAAGCTAAACACCCGGCCTGCCCCTGCCCTCATGGGACTTCTCAGGTCAATATTCTCAGGAACTGAACAGGTTTCCCAGAGAGGCTGGCACAGGCCAGGCCTCTAATTTGCTGACAGTGAATCTCTTGTTTTGTGGAGTGTCTTGTAGACACGCATCTCTCAGGGCTAGGTTCTGTGGAATGTGCTTTGGGAACCCTCTGCAGTCTACCCCTGCGTGCCTTGCCAGCTGGACATACAGTCAGGCCCTGTGACTACACTCATGCTCTGACATGCCACTGCGCGTCCCTGGTACAATCAGGCCCCGTGACTGCTTGATGCTCCTGACATGCCATTACTGCATCCTCTGAGGGAGCCCAGCAGAGCAGCAGAGTCCGAAGCTAGTCCACAGGACACAGGTGTTTAGGTTCTGACCCAGCCTTGCACACACAGAACCCGGCCAACATATATTGGTTGAGTGTTTGTCACCCTGGTTGCATGTCAGGAAATCCCCCTAAAATTCCTGTCCCTGATCCATTGAAGAAGTACTTATAGGCTATCCTTAGCCTCTTGGCTACTGTCCCGTCATTAAAGGGCATAACTATTGAATGATTTGAGCAGTAAGGAGGATGGTGTACTCTACACAGCAATAATGTACTTCCATGTGAATAGACTTTACAAAGCACCTCTGTGTCATTTGCTCTTTACACCTGCCTCTGGGGGAAGTAGGACGGTTTCCTTTTTTTTTTTTCTTTTTTCAAATTTTATAGATACAAAAGCTGAGGCTCAGGGTCCCTAGACTTGCCCCGGGTCACACAGACAAGGGCAAAGCCAGAACCCAGACCCAGTTATCATCTCACCTCAGGGGCGACTTTCTCCTTGCCCCATTGTCTTCGAGTGAAGGGTGACTAGGCAATGAAGTAATTCTCTAGGAAAGCATGACCAATTTCCCTTTCTCCACCTCCCTCTTCTTCCTCCTCCCCCCGCCCCAGCCCCCATATATATATGAATCTTCACAAAACCGGCCTGCACACCTTTACTTTTGAAACGACTTCCACAGCCCGGACAGGAACCTTCCACCCACAGTGACATCCTGACTGGTGAGTGGTGAGGGTGCCTCCCAACTTCCCCCCTCGGTAGCAGGAGCCAGACACCTCCAAACAGCGAACTTCAAGCATCGACTCCAGACTCCAGCCCGGAGGTGAGTGATGCGGGAATTCCTGAGTGCTTGGCTTTGAGCAGCTGACTGCCGCCTCCCTGGGAATGGGGGTTGGGATGGCAGTGCCAACTCTTTCACTGAGTATGGAAGGATAAGATCTAACCGTGGATGTGGTGCCGCCTCTTCTGATTTAACACCAAGAAGAATTTAGGCCGGATGGGAGGAAAAGCAGGAGGAGTATGAGGCCCAGAGATGAATTTTCCGGAGAGGCTTTGAAGTCTGTGGAGTTTGAGAGAACAGAATGGAGTTTGAGAAAGACCCGAGGGCGACACTGAAGCTCAGACTTTGGTGGCGAAGGATACTGGGCGCTGGTCTTGGGTCCCACTTCCCTGCCCGTATGGTGGCAGTTGTTCCAGAGACAGGCCTTCTCCCATCTTCCTGCCCAGCCTTGGGGTGGAAGACTGAGTTTCTTCAGGTGGGAGACCACTGCCTTGAATATGAAAGGTTCTTCAGTGGTTGTGGAAGGAAGGAAGGAAGGAAGGAAGAAGGAAAGATGGAAAGGAGGGAGGAAGAGAGGGAGGGAGGAAAGGAAGAAGAGCAAGGGGCAAAGAAGGGAGGGAGAAGGAATGTTCTGGGTACACGTATGACAAATAGCTTGGGGCCTCTTCATAGTCATTCCCAATTGCCCTCTAGTGCAAGTTTTCAAGGTGAGTCATCCAGAAATGCGATTCCTCCCTCCTGTTCAGTTACCTAAAAAGCCAATTCCTAGGGTCAAAAGTGAGTCGTCAGTTGAGGTAGCAGAGTGAGAGTGTGCCAGGATTAATCCCTCAGCTCCCTCGTGATGAGGAGTCAGAGGTGGCCTGGAGTGAGAAAAAGACCTGCCCAGGTGTGCCTGGTGCCTGAGGGGCAGAACTCAGACAAGCAAACACCTAGTTCAGCTCTACCCTTGAGTTTGGGCTCCCTATACATGTTCTTTGGCACATTGTAAACGCCACCCACTGCCCCCTCCCCCTGCCCATTTCTTCACTCTTCTTGGTCAAATTCTGACCAGCAGGTTGTTGGCTAGAGAGAAGTGTATGGAGTAAGGAAGAAGGTGCCCAGTATGTGTGACGTGGATGGGCATGAGGGGGTGGGCAGATAGTGAGACAGTGAGACCAGCAGGTATGAGATGAGGGGCAGAAAGACCCTCACCCCACCTTGGGGCACCACATGTTTGCAATATTCTAACTCTAGCAACCCACCGTAGTCTCAGGTTTCCTATCGGTTTGTCAGGCTGGCGAGGCAGAGCCAAGGAGCCTTATTTCTGGGTGTACCAGTCCTGGGCCAGAAGGCCGACCTCAGCGGCCTGTCTCCCTTCCTCCCAGCAGCATCCTCCCGGTCCTTCCTCTGCTGCAGATGGGCTCTCCAATGCAGAAGACTGCCCTCCCCTGCCTGAGTCTCATCCTGCTTATCTGGAGCCAAGGTCCCGGGGCCCAAGGCCAAGAATTCCAATTTGGGCCCTGCCGTGTGGAAGGGGTAGTTTTCCAGGAACTGTGGGAGGCCTCCCGGGCAGTGAAGGACATTGTGGTGAGTGAAGTGTCCTTCTGGACCCAGCTGCTGGGGTTACTGTCATGGAAAGGATAATAGTTTATGATTATGGAGCCCTTTGTGCCTTGCTAATCATTACCCTGGAATAACATTGTGAAGTGAGAGACATCACAAGCCCACATTTCCTCTTGCACATGGGGAAACTGAGGCTCAGAAAGACATGGTCAGTCCATAAGAAAATAAACAGCTCATGAGGAATAAAGAACAGAGCCTGTTCATCCAGGGGGCCAGGAGACTCCAGCAATGGGAAGTCACGGGAAGTCCTTTGAGTCCCAGTTACTGGAGTTTTCACCTACTGTTTAGCCAGGATCCTGCTAGTCTGCCATCACCTGCTTACACTTTGGCTAAAGGTAGAAAGAATGGTTAATGCTGAGTGGGGGGCTGCTGGTGAAATGTGACTGGATTTCTCTTAGGCCTGCTCTAATATGTGCCCTCACAAATGCACTCGCCTCCTTAAAGGACAATCCAGAGGCAAGGCAGAAAGTGGGCGCTCAATGGGGCAGCCTGGGAGGGGAGAGTGCTGCACTGGAGACAGGACCCCTATGTGTGATCATGACCTTGCAACCAGCCCATAAAGTACCCTCATCCCCATCAGTTTCCTTATTTGCACAATGAGGATGTGGGACAAAGGAGCTCAAAAGCTCCTTCCTCTCAATGATTCTTTGAATCGAAATCCAAGAACTGAAATGAATGAATGTCTGGGCTGCAGGGAAAGCCCCGTGGGTGAGAAAAGCAGGATTTCCCCACCTGTTGGAAAAGGGAGGTAAAATCTTGCCCTTAGGGGTTCTTAAACCAAATAGGGTTATTTCCTATTGTCTCAGAGGAATCAAACAGGTTCCTGATCAAGGCTCTAAGAACTCCTGGGATTGCATCTGACCTTGGGGGCCAAGTTTAGTGATTGTCTGTGGCTGAAACCTGTATCTCCACCCCAGGGGCCAGCTCAGCCCAGCCCTTCCTGGGCACCCCCTGACCTCTGAGACTTCGCAGGCTGGAGAGGTTTAGGAGCCTGGGGAGGCAGCATGCATTTGCACGGTTGGTTTCTATGCTGCCTCCGAACTGAGACATCTTTTCTTCCTGTTCCCACAGCAAGCTCAGGATAACATCATGAGTGTCCAGCTGCTGCGAAGGGAGGTTCTGCAGAACGTCTCGGTAATCACACCTCCTCGGGGAAGGAGCATGGCTGGTCTTCTGTGGGTGGGGGTGAGGGGTTGTCTGGGGAGGCTGGCAGAAGACTTCCCTTCTGCCCCCGGCTGGGCCTACCCAGGACAGGGCTGGGCAGTGAGCCAAGGAAGTTCATGCACGGGGTTTGCACCCAGAACCTGGGTTATGTGGGCTTGTGTGTGATGGCATGAGGCGAGGGTGGAGACGAAGGCTTGTAAACATCTGTCTCCACTTGCTCAGAGAGTTGCCATCAATCTTTCTCTTTTGCATCTGCTTGGGTCTCCTCCCATTTCCATCCTTTTCCTCTCACCCATCTCTGTCTTCTTGTCACCCAGCTAGTCAGCCAGCGAGCACACGGATACTGCCCCGATCCCTAAGGCGCTGAGCTTTGCTCTGGGGCTCTCAAGGGGGCTGGAGTGCAAGTCCTGTGTCCAAGGATGCTGTTTTCCCTCCTCGTTTCTTCTCCTTCCAGCCCATTTTCCTGCCAATTCATAACCACCAAATTTTGGGTGCTTTTCAGGGTCTATCACCCCACATGGCTATTGAGCAGATGTTGGGGGCGGGGGGTCAGAAACTAGACCTGTGTGTGCCACTGACCAGCTGTGTGACCCTGGGCAAGCCCTTCTCCCTGGGCCTGTGGTTCCTGCCAGAAACCAAAGGTGCCACTGCCCATGCTGGCGAAGGCTCCTTCACATGTAATGCTTAGCAGCATCTCCTGGAAGACCCCTGCTTCCTTTGTGCCTATCTTGCGTCGGCGACGTGTGGGTCATTCATCCAGGGCCGGGGTGGGCAGAGGCCTCGGATCCCTCATGACCCAGACCCTCCTCAGGGCGCTGAGGGCTGCTACCTCCTCCGTGCCCTGCTGGACTTCTACCTGAATACCGTGTTCAGGAACTACCACAAGAAGGCAGCTGAACTCAGGATCCTGAAGTCATTCTCCACCCTGGCCAACAATTTCATTGTCATCCTGTCGAAACTGCAGCCCAGCGTGAGTAGAACAAAGCTGGGACCAGGCACCATGGGAAACGGTGTGTTTGGAGGAGACTCCGCTCCCCTTAGCTCAGCGGTTCTCAACCTGTGGGTCGCGACCCCTTTGGCGGTCAAACGACCCTTTCACAGGGGTCGCCTAAGACCATCCTGCATATCAGATATTTACATTACGATTCATAACAGTAGCAACATGACAGTGATGAAGTAGCCACGAAAATAATTTTATGGTTGGGTCACAACATGAGGAACTGTATTTAAAGGGCCAGAAGGTGGAGAACCACTGTCTTAGCTGGTCCTGGCTTTTACTCCACGACAGGGAGTCGTGAGAAAAGAGCACAGCAGGCTTTGGACACCAGCAGTTCTGGGTTCCAGCCTAGCTCTGCGTCTAGCCAGCTGGTTGGCCCTCTGCAGTTCTCTTATGTATAAAATGGGATGAGCTCCCACCTGGCAAGGCCGCTGTGGGAATTCGAGGCGGCCCTGCCACGTGGTGGGCTTCAGCCTTGGCTCCTTGAGGACGTGGACTCAGCGCTGTTCTCCGAGGCCCCGGGACCCTCTGGCATCACTAGGAAGGAGTGGGAGGGGGCTTGCCTCTGCCCCCACCCAACACCCGGCACAACCTTTTTTCTGTTCTCCAGCAGGAAAATGAGACGTTTCCCATCCGCGAGAGTGCACGCAGGCGGTTTCTGCTGTTCCAGGCAGCGTTTAAGCAGGTAAGCAGGGCTGGCAGCTCAGGGCTTGCTTGAGTTGTCGCCGTCAGATGACTCAGAGACCTAAAGCAAATGCAATGCAATCGCCTCCTCCAGGCTTGCCCCAAAGCCACCTGACTTAGCAGGAGCACAGCCGTGTTTACATGAAGTAGCATTTACTTTGCATAAACACCGCAAACGACATACTATATTTTCCTGCCAGATTTCAAATGAAAATGCTATTCTCTTTCCCTAGGGGATGATTTCACTACTGAGCACTTTTCCTGGGCAATTGGAGTCGGGAGTGAGGGAGAAAGAAGGGAGACTGCCTTACAACCCCCCGCCCCCTACACATCTCCATACATCAGTGGTTCTCAACCTGTGGGTCGCGACCCCTTTGGTGGTCGAACGACCCTTTCACAGGGGTCGCCTAAGACCATCCTGCACATCAGATATTTACATTATGATTCATAACAGGAGCAACATTACAGTTATGAAGTAGCAAATAATTTTATGGTTGGGTCACAACACGAGGAACTATATTTAAAGGGCCAGAAGGTTGAGAACCAGTGTCATACATGGTATTTTCCTTAATGGTTATCTGGCTTAATTTGTGAGGAAAAACATCATGGGGAAATATATTACTTTCTCCCAAATTAATACAACAAAGAAATGCCAAATGTCATCCCCAGCTCCCCGTCCCCAACATGGATGATTTTGATCACCTTTTGAAGGAACAGATACATCAGCCTAAAAATAAATGGAGAGCAATCACACACAAAGGAAAGGGGTCACCCAGGCCTCAGTGTCGGGTACACAGTGGACTCAGGAGGTGGACCAGATCCACCCACACCGGGATTCTAGGGTTCTTGTTGCCAGGGGCCCCAGTTGCTTTTCCCTGGCTCCTGACTCACTGTTACCCACTGTTTTCAACCCCAAAGTGGGCAACACACATAGAGGGGGGACAAGTGATGGGTGGGTGAGTTCCTCAGAGGCCATCCCAAAGGGGCTGCCACCCTGAGGTGGAGTCAGCCAGGTCTGGGAGGGATGGTCGGAAGGTAACTACGCTTGCGGCTAAGATGGCAGATCTTCAACTCTTCTTTCCCTTCAGCTGGACATAGAAGCAGCACAGACCAAAGCCTTTGGGGAAGTGGACATTCTCCTCACGTGGATGCAGAAATTCTACCAGCTCTGATTTCCCAGACAGAAACGCCCTCCTCATCCTCCCTGTCATTTCAAGAGTGTCCCTTCCAGTGATGTTCTCTGGGCACTTCCCACTCCGAACTGTGGGTCCCATTCTTGGTCCAGGCGTATCCCCTAAGACTTCATTCTTTAAGTGGCCCCAACAACAGCCATGGAAGTCTCCCTCAGATGCTGTGAAAAAGCTACAAAGCAGGCTCCTATATTTATTACATCTCTATTTAATTCCTGTCAGTGTTTTAACTGATGTTATATTTATTTGTTTGACTAAAATCTGTGAAGACACCAGAGACAACGCCCCATGCTTCTCTTTTATCCTCCATGATCCTTGGAACCATGTGGGGCAGTGATGGTGCTCAGTAAAGGCCTAATAAACTGGATATTTTTGCCTGTTTTGAATGGTTGGGGAACGATGAGGGATGCTGGGATATACAGTCGAATGTTTGGGCATGACTATCTCATTGTCCTGACATCTCCAGGAACAGAGCCGTGGGGAAGGGGTGAGGGGCACAAGTCTGAAATGTAAATGAGAAAAGATCTAATGCGTTAACTGCCCAACACAAAGCAAGCTCACGAAACATTGCATTTCGTGCCCACACTCCCCACCCCACTCCACCATCCGTTACCCTTGGGTGCCCTCCTTTGTTATCCTACTCATGCTTCTCTCATCTGCCACCAGAGAGGGTGCCAGAGGCAAGCTGACATTGCTGATGGTGTCATGGTAGCTGGGTGGACTCTCTGATCTGTGACGCAATTCCCTGCTAGTAAAAGGCAGGGAGCTCACGTCTGGCAGCCTTTCCTTTCTATTTCTGGACAAGGGCCCAGTGAGGCTGAGTTGTGTGTCTGGGAAAGACCTTCTTCCCAACGGCAAGACTGGGCATTCTCTAGTCTCAGGCTCTGGCTTGTCTCTGTAGTTGACATCAGTCTAAAGGTACAATGTCTGCCCATGCCCTTGCACAGAAGACTTAAGGGTAAGAGCCTGTGGAGGAGATGGGATGTCTTCCTCCATGACTGAAGTGCTGTTGCAGAGCCCATGGCCCTCCAGGACCCCAGGCCACTTTCCTTCCCCACCTTGCTGGGACCACTTGGAACTGGCCAAGAGATAAGGTGCATTTCTGAAAGCCAAGAGAGGTAACGGTTTGGATGGCTAAGATAGAGTCATGTTAGGATAAGAATGGAAGAAGGATAAGGAAGTGACACAAACGACTTTTAGAAGACTGTATATTCTGCAGCTTTGGGGTGAAATGTTCTATAAAAGTCAATTAAATCCATTTGATCCTGTGTGTCCTTTATTTTTTTAAAAAATATATTTTATTGATTTTTTTACAGAGAGGAAGGGAGAGGGATAGAGCATTAGAAACATCGATGAGAGAGAAACATCGATGAGCTGCCTTCTGCACACCCCCTACTGGGGATGTGCCCGCAACCAAGGTACATGCCCTTGACTGGAATCGAACCCAGGACCCTTCAGTCCGCAGGCCGACGCTCTATCCACTGAGCCAAACCGGTCAGGGCCTGTATGTCCTTTAGAGTCACTGTTTCCTTTGTTAATTTTTGTCTGTAAGATCTATCCAGTGATGTCAGCGGTATTAAAGTCTCCTACTATGACTGTATTGTTGTCAATCTCTCCCTTGAAGTCCTCTAGAAGTGACAAAAACTATATTTAAAAGAGGGGAAATGCTAGGGTTAGGATCCTTATGAGCATCAAGGAAGGGAGACTTAAAGAAGATTTAGGGACATAGGGAAATATATATGGTTCTGAAAATTTAGAATCCTTCATCACATCAAAATTAATGCCACATGGTCTAGAGCTGAGGCAGCAAAAACCCTGTGATCAAAGAGAGTCTGCAAATCCCACAGCCTGTTATAGGGCTTGAAAGGGAAGCAGGTGGCATCGGGACAAATGCCCTGCATGGCCAGAAGCCACCTGAAGGCCACCGGGGTTTGCAGAAGAGCCATGGGAACTGAGCTATGCTCAGGGCAATGAGGCAGAGACAGGATGGAAGGTGGGATGTGGGATGTCACGAGGGGCTCTAAAAGTAGACGAAGCGGGTGTTGGAAACCAGCAGACAAACCAGACTCATTGGCGCAGAGGCCTGGGCCCAGGGGGACAGCTGGAGGGGTGAGTCAGGCAGTAGATATTGACGTATTCATCTGAATCAGCATCCTCCATCATGGCGGCAGGCTGGTGGTAAACGGTCATATATTCACAGCTGGTCTTCAGAGACGGCACGTGGGGCCAGGGAGCTTCCGACACCTGGAAAAACCAAGGAAGCATGACTGGGTCTGGGTGGAGTGACTTGCTAGTTCTCCAGCTGGATTCCCACAGAGGGCAACGGCGGGCAGGCAAATGGTTGCTGACTTCCAGAAGGCAACGACACAGAGGTGGCTGCGCTCCATCAAGCAGCTCCGCCCTGGGGATTTTCGGGGCGGCATCTCACCCGAGATAACTGGAAAACACTTAGATCTAATGTGGGCAGGAAATGCCTTACATGGGGCTCCGACTACAGTCACGTGGTTAAGCACCCGTCTGGAGGAGACTTGGCTGCCAGAGGAGTTTTCCCCTCTGGGATTGGATGCTGTGACTTGTGGAATGAATATACATCCTCAAGGGAGTTATTCAGAGGCAGGTGAGTCACCCCTGTGCCTCTGGAAGGCTCGGAGAGGCAGTGACGTGGTGTGACAGAGCATTCCAGGAAGGCGCTGGGTGGTGAAGGGGAGAAAGGCAGCAGGACCTGTGGGCACAGGGGTGCTCCTTTCCCCAGAATCACCTGCCTTCAGGATGAGACAGTTCTTGGGGGACAAGGCTGAACCATGACCCAAGAAGGCTGTGGTGGTGATGGGCCACATGTTTATTTATGTATTTATTTTAGATATATTTTTATTGATTTCAGAGAGGAAAAGAAAGAGAGAGAGAAACATCAATGATAAGAGAGAATCATTGATCAGCTGCCTCCTGCACACCCCACTCTGGGGATCAAGCCCACAACCTGAGCATGTGCCCTTGACCGGAGTCAAACCTGGGACCCTTCAGATCCCAGGCCAACCCTCTATCCACGGAGCCAAACCAGCTAGGGTACGGGTCACATGTTTAAACACAACTGCTGAGAATTAGAAGTCCAGCCCCCTGAACACAGTAGGCACTCAGTAACTGCTCATTGAAAAGACCTGTTACTTTTGGTACTTAGCTCCCATTGCCTGTTATGATTTGCCATTTGAGATTAATTTGTCTTTAAAAATTAAAATATTTCCTGTGAAGGCTACAATATTCAGTCATTAATCATATGCACCTTGTTGAGAACTTGTTCCATCAAGATTTTTGTCCCTAATGGTAGGAATGAGAGTTTCAAGCAAGGAGGAAGGATAAAAGTTGAGCAAGCTGATGAGGTGAGGGTTGTGTGGCCACAGGGCAGTTCTAGACAAAAGGGTGAGAATAAGGGTAGAGCGGGTAGAGTCTGGGCACTGCTGGACCTGCCTAAGCTACCGTGAACCCTCTCCAGCAGGGGCGAGTGACCGCAAACTCAAGAAGCTGGAGGTGACTGTGGCAGAGCTGTCACTGGCTGCTGGGCATCACTCTCCCCTTTTTAGCACATGATTGCCCAGCCAGTGACTACATTTCTCAGCCAGTGGATGGGAAGGAAGTGATGCGTCTTAAAGAAGCAGGGTTCTTTTCCTCCCTCTATGGACTGGAATGTGGCTATTGAGCACTGACCATGGTCCAGGCAAGATGCCAGGGGTGGAGGACCAACAAGACAGAAGGTGTTTTAGTCCCTGGACGGCCTCCTGCCCTTACTTGGGAGGAAACAGGTTTCCATCTTATGAGCCCTCTGGTTTAAGGTCTGTTGCTTTAGATTAGTCTACACCAGCGGTTCTCAACCTGGGGGTTGAACGACCCTTTCACAGGGGTCTCCTAAGACCATTGGAAAACACATATATAATTACATATTGTTTTTGTGATTAATCACTATGTTTTAATTATGTTCAATTTGTAACAATGAAATTGGGGGTCACCACAACATGAGGAACTATATTAAAGGGTCACGGCATTAGGAAGGTTGAGAACCACTGGTCTACACCCTAATTTAAAAACAGACTTTGGCCACCCTAGCCAGTTTGCTCAGTGGATAGTGTCAGCCTGCGGACTGAAGGGTCCCAGGTTTGATTCTGGTCAGGGGCATGTACCTTGGTTGTGGGCACATCCCAGTAGGGGGTGTGCAGGAGGCAGTTGGTCGATGTTTCTTCCCTCTCCCTTCCTCTCTGTAAAAAAAAAAATCAATAAAATATATTTTAAAAATAAAAAAAGACTTTGGCCATGCTTCGTTTTTCCTGGTCCCTAAGCAAATAGTGTTTTAGCTACTGTGGGCTACTTTAGAGAATAAAGTCTTTTCCTCCCTGACTTTGGGAAAACAAAGATGAGTCGATGGTTTGCCCATCTGCCAATGGCCACGGACAGAAACCCGAGTTCCTATGTCCATTCCTAGATTTCAAGAGGAACCCTCCTCACCCCAGGTGTTGAGTCCTCTCTACATCTTGCCAGCAGGTCATCCTGGGGGCTTCACTGCCTCCAGGGATGGGTAAAGAACTCCTCTCACCTTGGAGAGCCACTTGGAAGTTCTCCCTCATATTAAGGTGAAAGTGTGTACTTCCACCCCCTTCAGGCCTCCTAGAAATCGAATCTCTCCCCCGAGAGTGCTGGATTACCACCCATCAGCCTCTACTTAGCACCCACGGAAATGCTTGGCTAAAAGCCAGGTAACTAAGTCTACCCCGTCGTTGGGCAGGCCCTGCATGGGCACTGAGACTAGTTCCCGGACTCCGCGGGAGCTGCTGGGAAAGCCCAGCCCGGGAGCTACACGTGGCTGGGGCCATGGCGCTGGGTCCGCGCCCAGCTCTGGGACCGCCCCGTCGGGTCACCGCGGCTGTTCTTACCTGGGCGGGGGCAGGGCGCACCTGCGGCGGGGCGGGCGGTGCCGACGCTCCGGGCCTTGGGATCGGTGCCTCCAGGTCACCTGGGGGAAGGAACCCGAGGCCGGGATGAGGGTGTGGCCCGGGGTCCCGCCCCACCCTAGCTCTGCGACCAGCCCTGGGGAGGAGGAGCCGGCCCTGCGCTCCAGCTCACCCGACGGAACCCTGGGCCCCCGCAATCCTGCATTCATCCGCCCCACCCCTCACTGCTCCGCACCCACCCCCGATCCCCGTACCCACCCCCGATCACCGTGTCCTCCCCGCTCCCCCGCACCCTCCCTTACCCTGTGGTCCCCCTGTCCCCCCGCCAGCCAGCTCACCCACCGCCCCTGCTTACCCGCAGCGTGCGCCCCCCGGTCGCGCCGGGGACAGGCGCTGTAGACGTTGTTTTGGGAGCGTGGCCGCGGGGACACGCGGGGCCGCTGCGCCTGGGGCCGCTGGGAGGCCGCCAGGGCGCTCATCCTCAGGGCCAGTCGGCTCGCCCGCCTGGAAAGGGCTTCTCGGCAAAAAGCCCCGGGGAGGGGAGAACGGCTTAGGGTGCGCGGCGCCGGCCTACCCTCCACGGAAGGCCAAAGCTCCCCGGCGGCTGCGACCCCACTTCCAGGCGATTCACCGCCCCCCCCCCCCCCATCCCTGGTTCCCTGTAACCCCGGCCGCTCATTGAAAGCTCCTGGGATCCAGCGGGGGAGGGGGGGTCGGGGGGTGCGGGGCTCTAGGCTCTTTGGGCCGCTCAGTTCTCTCTAACCCAGCCCGACCGCTCACCTTTCTTCCTCTGAATGATCCTGGTCACCAGCAGCCCCAGAAGGGTCAGCAGGATGAGGCTCAGGAAGGTGGGGATCAGGAGGTGAAACCCCTGGTCTTCCATTCGGGACGCCGGGCTGTGGTGGGAGGCTCTGAGGGGGGCAGGAGAGGGAGAGGGGAGAGGGCGGGAAGGGAGGAGGCTTAAGGAAGCACTTTTGAGTGGCCACTGTTTGGAGATGGCTAAGGTTGTCCCTTTGTTAACCGATCCCCCCCCCCCCCAACAAAGAGCCTTGTTTTGGAGCCAGGAAACCTGGGTTCAAATTTAGATTCAGATTTTCACTGGCTGTGTGATCTGGAACCAGTCTCCTAACTTCTCTGAGCCTCATTTCCCTGTCCATGGGTCTAGTAAAACCGATTTCACAGAACCGTTTAAGGGCGAACCACAGAGTGGATGAAAAGAACTTCACGCACCGGGTCCACGCGGCAGTCAGCAAATGTCAGATTCCCTTTCTGGACCTCAGTTTCCCCAAGCTTATTGCAAATGTTCAATGAGTTAGTTTCTTTTCGTTGTGGGAAAGAGGATGTTGTTTTTTATGGTGCTCCCTCTGCCTAGGAGGCCTCCCCTCTCTTTCCCCTGCATGTGGAAATCTTACTTTCCACAAGGAGCCAGTGGGTAAGTCCTCTTCCCTGAACATGGCAAACCAGAACCGATTCTTTTCTCCCTCTTCCCAATTCTGGTGATCATAGCCTTTACAACCTTTGTCACCGTCAGTCTTGCATTAGCGAGATAGGACCTATGTACCGCACGGCTTCGTTTTTTCTACATCTTCAGGACATAGCGCCATGCTTGACACATAGTAAGAAAATGTTGATTGACTTGCCTTGAATTCTTCCCTAAGGAGGCTGTTGTCGTTTCCTGAACTAATAATCAGGAATCCTGGTTCCGTTTGAAACTACTTCCCTCCCATGGTCTCAGTTTCCTCATCGATACGACCTAAATGAAGGTCCCCTTTCTCACTCACATGTTGATCTTTGCTTAGGTAAAAATAATTCCGATTATTGTAGCTTTTCTTTGGTGGCTGCTGTAATACTGCCCCCTAGGGGTCTATTGCAGCACTTTCCTAGCATCTATTCTAGCCTTTCCAGCAGTGCTGTCCAGTAGAAACATAGCGTGAGTCATTCATGTAATTTAAAATTTCCTAATAGCTAGATTGAAAAAGTAAAAGGAAACACGTGAAAGTAGTTATAATCCTTAGTAGTTCAGTCGTTAATTTTATTCTCGTTTAGTTTCTCCCCATCGAAATAGATGTGAATGAATGCGGAGGGACTGAAAATTTGGGGTCTGGCTTCTACAGGGTCGCCTGCTGGGGCGTTGGCAAGTATATTCATGTTAAGGGCACTAAAGAGTTAATGTGCTATCCTCACAGGTCGTCTGTGTCACAGTGGCCTTCTAGAGACAAAGCCAAGAAGGGCCTTGGCTGGTAGACATTTCAGTGGGTCTCCGAATCCTAGACTATTTTGCCTGGGTTCTAGCCCTTCCCGGGTGGTGGAGGCCTCTCACCTCTGCCTGTGAAGCCTGGTGTGCTGGTTGTAGCTGGCTGTCTGGGGCCTGAGCAGCCTCTCCGGGGCTGGGGTCTTTGAGCTTGTGGTGGATGGCAGGCGGGTTGTGAGCTTGGCCGCCACCACTGCCGATGACCTGGAAACTCGAGGGCGGTGGGTGACTGGAGGGGTGGGGGAGGAGGGGTGTGCTGGAGGGGCCTCTGTCCTTGGAGCTGGTGAGGTCACTGCAGGAGACAGCGGGGGGGAAAAAGTGATCTTCCGTCCACACCCTGGTCTCCAGCAGGGGTGGGCCGTGACCACCTCTTTCCTGAACACACTCTCCCCTTTCACCTAGGCCAGTGGTCGGCAAACTGTGGCTCGGCAAACCACGGCTCGCGAGCCACATGCGGCTCTTTGACCCCTTCAGTGTGGCTCTTCCACAAAATACCGACTTCTGCGCATGGGCCACGAAGTTTCAATCACACTGTACGTGCGGGCCCACACGTGGTATTTTGTGGAAGAGCCACACTGAAGGGGCCAAAGATACGCATGTGGCTCGCGAGCTGCGGTTTGCGGACCACGGACCTAGGCTATCTTTGTTCTTGCACTCCTCGGGGCCTGGAATGCCTTCCTAGCATTCTTAGTGCCGTCCACACCCAGTAAATTCTACCCAGATTTGCTTCAAATGCCATTTTCTCCAGGCAGCCTTCCCCGACTTCCCAGGCAGATCAGCCTCCCCTCCTCTGAGCATGGAGAAAGCCTTGTGTTCTGCCATGTGCTTGTCTATTCTCCCCCCTCCCACACCTGCCAGTCACAACCAGGGGCACATAATGAGCTCAGCTGCACTCTCCCTCTTGGCACCCAGCAGAGTCCTCGAGTGACACCATGTTCAATTACTGTATCTACCCCACAGGGTAGACGGGATGGCAATATTGCATGTCAAAATGCATTTAAAACAGGGAAATGATAGGGAACGTAAAGGTATCATTAGTATAATCGTGCTTTTTTTTTTTTCCATTGCAAAATAGAGTTGTTAAGATCACTGTATGCCAGCAAGTATGACAGCCCTGTGGGCAGCAGGAGTCATAACGAGCTCCAGCTGGGAACCTTCTGCCCCATTTCGGTGTCAGCAGTCATTCATAAAAGAGCTGGATTTTGTGAATGGAGCACAAACTCCAGTGCTTGCGGTGCCACCTAGTGGTGGTGTCAGTTCTGCGACTAGAGCCGAGTGTCCAGGCTGTAGGCTGGGCTTGAAGGACACAGAAACAGACCTGGGTGGGGGTGAGGGTGGGGGGTGGGTACCCTCTCCTGAGTCAGGGAAACACTCATCGGAGACTCCGCTATGCTCTGCCAATCACTCTATGAACGAACACAACTTCCTTCCCTTCTCACAACGCCCTGTCACCTCCACCACCCCTCCCACCCCAGCTTTGGGGAACTGACCTTGGGAAAGGACTTCTTCGAGGGAGCTGGCAAGTACAGGTTTCTGGAACCAAGGGAGCATCTCCATGGGTGGAACTCTCCATGGTGGAAACGGCTCCTCTTCCCAGAATGGGTCATACTCTGCTGGAGGCATGAGGAATGCACTGGTGGGCTCTGGGAGGAGCCGGAAGTCTGGGGAAGGGGCAGTAGTAGGAGCTGAAGCTGACTCAGCCAGGATGGATGGCAGCGAGGGGATGAGGGCAGGGTCCCCCAAGAGGAGCAGTAAAAGAAACCCTTTCACCCCAACCCAATTAACCCAGAGGCCTCTGGGTTTCTAGGCTGTTGAATTAGTGCTGCTGGCGTGTGAGGGAGTCGGTGGAGAAAGACAGGACTCCGCAGAAATATGGAAAGGATCAGATCCTAAAGCAACACGTTTGGCCTACAAATGTGGCTTGAGAAAGAGTGTCTTTCCTTTATATTCACCCCTGATATTTCTCATGGGAGAATTATGTCTTTTTGCTCCCAATTTCCTCCACTCTCAGAGCCTCTCCTCAATCTCAGCCCCTGCTCCTCCCCTCATGCCCCGGGTAGGATGGGTACAATTCAACACGAGGAGAGCGCCAGCCTTGCTTGCATAGACAATTCTGTGGACCCTGAATTTAATTGACTCTACGGGGTCCGCCAATCCAAATCCAAGTTATTATTGGACTGACTATTATGGCACTAGCATAGTCTGGGGGACTGCCATAGCCCGATGCTGTCCTAACCTTCCTGAGAGGAAAGGTTTGCCGGCTGGGCGGAGCCTCCATCAGGTCAGGCACCTACCACTGTGGACATCCAGGGTGACTTTCTGGCTCTTGCCCCGGTCTGTGTTCAGGCCTGTCCCACAGGCATAGACTCCACTGTCACTCTGGGTCAGCTCTGTCACCTCCACTAGGAACAGGTTCTGGTCTGGATACAGCTTCAGGGTGACGCGGTGTTTGTATTCCTTCCTGACAAAGCGCATGCTGGACACCACGGTGAAACACGCTTGAGATTTGTCTATCTCGCGGCACAGATACGCTCTCGTATACGTTTCAGGAAGCGGGCACTCAATGGTAATAGATCCGCCCAGCATCCCCTCCAGCTTGACTTCTGGGAGCACCAGGGCTCCAGATACTGCAGGAAGAGGGAGTTAATGGACAGGAAGCCCCATCTCCAGCCATACTCCCACCTCCAGCCCTCTTTCCAGCCCAGGTCCCAGTCCAGCCTCGTGCTCTTCCCCAGAACAGCCCATCCCCTTTATCAGCCCGGGCCTCAGCCAGCCCTCAGCTTCAGTGCTATCCTCATCTCTAGCCCTAGCCTCATCCCCAACCTGTTCCCAGGCCCACCCCTCTTTACATCCTCAGTCCTACTCTATGTTCATCTCTGTGTCCAAACTTGTCTCAGCCGCGCTTCTCCCCAGCCCAAGCCTGAGCATAACCCTCAGCTCATCACCAAACCCATGTCCACCAGGACACCAACCCCCTAAGAATATAGTAAAAAAATACTGCCCTCCAAGGAGAGAGAATATTCCATGGAAATCGCAAACAGCACGTAACCCCCAGGTGTCTTCAGTGTGGCATTGGGAGGCATGGAACCATTTTGCTGCAACAGGTTTGTCTGTCTAGTTTTGCTTTGCTCAGATCCATTCAGCCGAAACAACCATCGCCACCCAGTTCTAGTTGTTAAATCACTCAATAAGCATGAATTGAATGCCTTTCAAGGGACAATAAGATAGTTGATATTCCTCCCCTCACAGAAAGACTCATTCAGTAGGTGGTACAAATGGATAGCCACTGCCTGCCTGGTGTGGCTCAGTGGTTGAGTGTTGACCCATGAGCCGGGAGGTCACGGTTTGATTCCTGGTCAGGGCACATACTTGAGTTGTAGGTTTCATCCCCAGTGTGTGTGTGTGGGGAGGGGGTGCAGGAAGTGGCCGACCGATGATTCTTTCTCACCATTGATGTTTCTATCTCTCTCTCCCTCTCCTTTCCTCTCTGAAATCAATAAAAAAAACAGAACCTTGATCTCTTGACTGCAACTCTATATTCTTCTTAAAATGAACAAATCCACACAAATGGACAGCCACTATAGCACAGTGTCAAAGATCCCATGAAGAGACAGACCAGTTAGCAAGATGACAATGACCAGACCCCAGCTCTCCTTGGAGTTCAGAGTAGCTTCTAATTGTCATCCAAGGCTTAGAAAAGCAGATATCCCCAACAGAAGAAAGATAGATGTACTAGTAACTTCCTGGTTTAGAACTTATGCACAGTGTGCTAAGATTCATGTGGAGAGAACTTGCAGACAGCCTCGATCCAGGTTGGGTCTAGGCACCTGCATGGCAAATAAGCATCCCAGCTGTCCTTAATGTTTTGTAATTCTGGGCTATAACTATATTTCCAAATGATTCTTGGGAGAAAGGGAGGGGTGCAAGAAGCTATATAAAGGAGCCAAGCTGTTTAATGGCATTTTAGCTACTAAACTAAGTAAGTGACATTAATCTATAATTTGGCAACTTGACTTATAGTGGCGCTGTAGGGGAGGATTTCAAAAGTTACTAATTATATAATTAGATATAAATGGATGTTTGGAACATGAAAATAATATAATTTTCATAATGCAAAATAAGGTAAGGGGTCACATGGCCTTGGCTGGTGACGGAGCTCAGGAGATAGATTCTGGATTCCACAAAGCGATGATTTTCAGGGGGGAGGGGTGATAATGAGGAGCTTATAACTCAAGCCATAGCAGAATCTCTGAAAGAAGGAAGCTTGCCTGAGACGTTTACAGTTATAAGATAGAGCGTGGCTTTGTTAAGAGGATGAGAAACATCCAAATCCACTTTTCACTTCCGCGTACACTAACCTATGTGTGTCCAGGCCTGCGGCCTGCCCTTCATGCCTTCACAGTGAATGGAGTGTCCCTCTTCCTACCAAACGCTAGTGCCTTCATCTGTACCCTGAAGCCCATCCTGCTCACCTTCCCCAGGACCTCTCTCCTGCAATTATCCTTTTCCCTCCCTGCCTCTTGCGTTCTCCTCTTCCCACATCGCCGTGGCTTCCACACACGCTCCATTGTGCCGTATTGAAAACCCCTCGGGTGACTTTTGCCTCCCCTTCAGCTGCCACCCGTCTCTGTTCTCTTTCTCAAATGAGCCATCAAACTCCCTGAATCCACTTCCACGCCTCCCAGTTCCTCTTCTACCTACACCTGTCAGAACGTTGCCTCCAACACTCCACTGAAAGTGCTCTAATCAAGGCCACCCAGCCTCTTCCTATTGCCATGTTTAATAGCCGCTTCTTTGTCTTCCTTTTACTCACCCTCCTGGCAGCATTTGATGAAATTGAGCCCTTCAAACACTTTCTTCTCTTGTCTTCCCTGACACCACACTCTCAATAGCTATTCTTTTTCAATCTTCTTACTTACTTCTTCTCTACTCACCTCCCATTGTTGGGCCACCCCAGGGCCTCATACTTGGGTGTGTTCCTTTCTCTGTCCTCCATCACTCTCCCCCCGCCCACACTAGCTTATTTATTCCTGTGGCTTTTCATGACAACTCTATACAGAGTTCATCCAAACATATATCTCCAGTCTTTTCTTTACCTCTGGGCTCTAGAATTGCCTTCCCAATGTTTACATTTGGGTTCCATGTGAATATCTCCTATGTGTTTCAAACAAACAATGGCAAAAAAAAGGACTCTTGATTTCTTTTCCAAAACCCATTTCTACCCTTGCCTTTTGGGTCAAATTTATAAAATGTTTTCTACAACCAAGGTCTATAAGTTTAGTACCTATGTTTCCTATGTAATTTATTGTTTCAGATCTTATATGTAGGTCTTTGGTCCATTTTGAATTAATTTTTTTAGATGGGGATAAACTGTAATTTAGTTTCACTCTTTTGCATGTGGGAAGTAAAGACAAAAAGAAATGAATGGAACTATATCAAACTAAAAAGCTTCTGCAAAGCAAAAGAAACCAACAACAGAACAAAAGGGCAACCAACCAAACGGGAGATATTAGCAAACAATAGCTCAGACAAGTGGTTAATTTTCAAAATATATAAAGAACTCATACAACTCAGCACCAAACAAACAATTCATTTAAAAAATGGCCAGAGGATCTGAACAGACAACTCTCTCAAGAAGACATACAAAAGGCCAACAGATATATGAAAAGATGTTCAACTTGACTAGCTATTAGGGAAATGCAAATCAAAACTACAATGAGCTGCCACCTCACACCTGTTACCAACAAGACAAGTAAAAACAGGGTTGGGGAAGTTGAGAAAAGGGAACCTTTTTCACTGCTGGTGGGAATGTAGAATGGTATAGCCACTATGGAAAACAGAATGGCCATTCCTTAAGAAAGTAAGAATAGAGCTACCTTATGACCCAGCAACCCCTCTTCTGGGTATCTACCCCCCAAATTGGAAAACCTTTATTCACAAAAATACATGCGCCCCTATATTCATTGCAGCATTATTCACCATGGCCAAGACATGGAGGCAACCAAAGTGTCCTTTGATAGAGGACTGGATAAAGAAGATGTGGTACATATATACAATGGATACTACTCAGCCATCAGAAAAGATGAAATACTGCCATCTATGACAATGTGGGTGGACCTTGAAAATGCTAAGGGAAATAAATCAGTCAGAAAAAGCTAAGAACAATGTGATTTCACTCATATGTGGAATATAGAACTAAAATTCGTATAAACAGATAAAACTATGGTGGATACCAGTGGGAAGGGGGTGGGAGAGTGGTGAGTGGGGAAAGGGGGCTCAATGTCTGGTGAAGGAAGATGATTTAACTTTGGGTGGTGGGCACACAGTGCAATATACAGATCATGCATCATAGAAATGCACACTTGAAACCTATATGATCCTATTAACCATCCCCCAATAAATTTAATGAAAACAAAACAACAGTAAAGAACAAAACAAAACTGATTTCTTTACAAGCTCTTCCCATCTCAGTAAAGAGCACCAACATTCATCCAACTGCTAAAGCCCAAAACTCATCCCCATATAAAAGAATCAAGAACAAATTGTAGGGGTGTTGTGTGTGTGTGTGTGTGTGTGTGTGTGTTGGATCATAACATCTAGTGTATGCATGTATTATTATTATTATTATTATTATTATTATTATTATTGGTAAAAATAGCTTGAAACTCTACACCTTGTGATACTGCCTTACTTTATTAGGCAAAGCCACCTAAGGCTTCAGGCAGTGTGGCCTGTAGCTTGGGCCTCATGCATTGGGCTCTGGGGACCAGGACCTGGGGCATGAATGCAAATAAAGGCCCATATATTATATGTCTAAATATTTTAAAGGTATAAATAAAGCTAATAAACTGTTAAATAAAGTTTGTTCTATCCCCTTCTCTTTACAAATTCACACATTCCTTGGATGTTCACTCTAAAACATGGCTATAAGGTAAAGAAAGGCCCCACGTCCCTGTCCCAGCCTCTTGCTTATCTCCCTGCTTCTCTCATCCCTGGCTCCTGCCACCACAAGGGTGCTGGTATATACATGATGGATTCCCCAGTTTGCAGGTATAATAAGCCCCATCTATCTCCGTTCCAGGCAGACTCCTGTGCCACCCTTTCATAGGCCAAAGGTTAGAAGACCCTGAGATGGAAGTGCACACAGTCATTGAAAGTGTGCCTGCAGACATTTGGACAAAGAACTCAAGGTCTAGAAGAGGGGGTTAGGGGTGACCTTGGTGTGGACACATCCCATTGGGCTTGTGAATTCCTCACCCTGTGGGTATGGGCACAAATGGGGAAGAACCAGGCCCACAGCCTGGACTCCTCTGGCCCAGAGAATGATGGTATTGCTTAGAACAGATGGCCGTGGTACAATTTACGTACCCTTCACTCCTGGAGGCCTTCCTTTCCCACCCAACCCCTCTTCCCCCTGAGGTCTGAGTTTAATTTTACTCACATTGTGCTCACTTATGTTCCACTACCTCTCACCCAGTCTGACACTTCATTAAAACTCTATTCCCTTGGGCTTTTTAGGGGTTTTTGATCTTCAACTTGATAAACATTTGACTTTCTTCCATACTCAAGCCATCAGAAAGAAAGCAAGTATGAATAAAAAATCCAAATTGACCCTCAAGGACAGCCGTGGGCAAACTACGGCCCACGGGCCAGATCCGGCCCATTTGAAATGAATAAGACTATTGAAAAAAAAGACCGTACCCTTTTATGTAATGATGTTTACTTTGAATTTATATTAGTTCACACAAACACTCCACCCATGCTTTTGTTCCGGCCCTCCGGTTCAGTTTAAGAACCCATTGTGGCCCTCGAGTCAAAAAGTTTGCCCACCCCTGCTCAAGGAGGTTACCATTTAATCAATAAATGGTAAAATGAGGTGGGCAACACCCCAAACCACAATACAAGGCAGAATGGGATCAGCTATTGGGTTTCAAAAGAGAAGGTTCTGGAAAGTGTATAGGAAGGAGGCGATGGTTGAAGGACCCATAGAAGGTAGAGGTGAGCAGAAGAATGTTCCAGGCAGAAGAAATGGGATGATCAAGGGCTGGTGGCAGTAAGTCTAGCACATGCTCAAGAAGTCCTGTTTAGCTGGAGGTTAGGGAAGTGCTGGGGAATGTATAAGCTCAGAAATACAGAGAAGCAGAAGGGAGAGGTATATAATTCAGTAGGCAGTGGGAGGGCAATCCTATGATTGGAGTCAAGCTTTTAGGAAAATTAATCTGGAACTATAGGTAGGTCAAATTGCAGGAAGAGGGAAAAATAGGTACGAGATGACTGTGTGTTCTTTTCTTTTCCATTCCTTCCCCCTGTTACGTCTCTAGTAGAGGCTGCCATTGCTTCTTATCCCGGTACATGGAAATCTAGAAAGCACATGAATTGGCCATTGATTGTATCGAAGTTTGGCTGGGGACAAATGGAAAGAGGTTGTGAAGAGCCATTCTAACATTTTGCAGCTGATAGTTTAGAGAGATTAGCTGGTTTGGATGGTGACCAATGAAACAGCTGTAAACTGCGACACCGAGTTTGGGAAATGGCCTAGGCCCACCGAATGGATTAGGGAGTCTTCATTTAGTGTTGGAAGTTAAAAATCAGGAGTGAAGGAGATCCAAAGAAAAAGAGTGTAGAGGTAAGAAGAAAGAACTTTGGTGGCACTTGCTATAAGGTTCCAAATTAATAGGCTCTACATCTGGGAGAAGTGACATTTTCAGCCCTTGTGAACCCAACAGGAGATGTGTCTGGGGTGGAGGGAGGGGTGCTAGCAGGGAGTGGGGAGGTTCTCCAATGCCTCATCTGGCCTCTGTCCATGTCCTGCCCTAGTATTGGTCTGCACCTCATTCTGTCTAGAAACCTCAGAGCTGGAGACACCAGCCACTTCTCTACCCGTGGCCAATTCAAACCTCATCTGACATGTAAGCTCTTTCCCCACAGCACTTACCTGTGGGCAGGAAGTAAATTAACCAAAGCCAGGGGTCCATGGCTCCTTCCAGGACAAGGGCCCATTCAAGAGCCTCAGGAGAGGGGGACAAGGATCCACTGCTCACCCAGGAACTGTCACAATCTGAGGTTTGAAAGAGATTTCTGGTCCATGTGAGGATGAAGACTTGAAAATGAGGAAATGACTGCCCCTCTTATTTGCTTGCTGGTCTTAGACCAAAAAAGAAAACATCAGCAAACCACACCGGAAGTCAGGAGTTGAGAAAACATGTGTTGCACGAGATTGGGTCACCAGGGTTCAAAGTGCTTCTGCGCAGATCCGAAAGACCACCAGAAACTATCAGGCATGATATTTCTTTGTCTTGGGCACTTTCTCTTGGAGGGGCCTCCCATGCCTTATGTGTATTCATTGATGCCTTAGCCAGAGTCCTTCTACTTTTTTCTTGTCTTCAGGATATAAGAGCCTCATCACCACTTTTCTTGGTCTGAGGGAGGCTGTGTGGACAGAAGCTTGTGCCTGAGTCAGAGGTGTTGGTTGTAGCCCTTGAACTTATTTGACAATTATTTGAGCATCTGCTATATGGGAATACTATGGGTTTTGAACCTCGATTTCTTTATCTAGAAATGAAGGTGGGGCTAGATGATCCCTGGCATTCCCTCCAACAAAACATTGTTCCTGGGGTCTTAACCTCACATCAGCCACCCTTCATATCTCCTATATCTCCCTAAGGGGCTGGCTCTGGCAGGAGCCCAGGTAACTGTCCAATGACCTCAAGGGTGATGACAGGAGAGGGTGTGACAGGTCACACAGAACTCTGCCTAAAGTCACAGCAACTTGGTACAGCTATACCTTCAGGACCTCAAGTGTCCAAGGGCACAGCCCAGGAACTGAAGGTAGAGACACTGAGGTGATCAGCCATGAGGTATCATGGGTTCCAGTCAGAAGTCCTGAGTTCTGGTCCTGCCTTGGCACTTTCTAGCTTTGAGCCTCAGTTTTGTCATTGATAAAATAGGGATGGTCCCTGCCCTGCCTACCTCACAAGCTTTCATGAGACCCAGCAGGAACCGAACTCATGGAAGTGCTTTAAGAGCCCTTGAACATGCGATGTGTGGGGCTGTCACTTATCAGAGAATTTCCAAAACTTCATTCCTGGATGTTACATCCCAGGTTGGTTCCCAGGGCCACACCCCTGGGCGCTGCTGCCTCTGGTGCCCACAGGGGACTGAGGCTTCTTCCCACATCCTTCTGGGTGGATGTGGCTCACGGCCTCCAGGCTCCTCAGTGGTCCTGTGCACACCCCTCCCCCTGGCCCCTACACACCAGATTTATCACAAGCTCTCCAAAACACAAAACAATGACGTCCGCAGTGGAAATCGAGAGTGAGGCTCAGAGCAGGTGCAGAGGAAGCGTGTGTGGGGGCGGGCAACCTGCCCTGCCCACCCTATCTGTGTCTCCACCGGCCCAGAGCAGCTGTACTCATGACTTCCTGCAACCACACTCGGCCAACGTGTCAGTGGGCAGCCTCAGGCCTCTGATTAGAGTGAAGGCCAGAGGCCACAGGTCCCCTTAGCCTCCATCCTTCCTGACTTCGAGGGCTCTGCCACATAGCTGGGCAGCTATGGGTTCCATGTCTGGGACTGCCTTGGAGAGAGAGAACAAATGAAGGAATGTGTCGTAGGTGTGATTGTGGGCGTGAGTGTGTGTGAGCATGAATGTGTAGTGTGTAATATGTGAGAGTTGAGTGACATACAGCTGTAATGTGTAAGTGTGTGACAGTGTGAGGTGTGCAGTGGGAATGTTATGTGTGATGTCAGTGTGTGAATGCATGATGTGTGGCATAATGATGTGTGTGTGTGATGTGTGAATATGTGATGTGTGGCTGAGTGTGTATATTGTGTTGTAGGATACGTGAATGTGTGCTGTGTAGTGTGAGTGTGTGATGTGTGAACATGTGGTGTGTGAAGATGAGAATTGGCTTGGCTGTGGCTGGGGCCTGCCAGGAGGTGCTGAGGATGTGTGGGATGAGTGGGTAGGAGAGATTTTCACATCTTGTGTGGCCCAAATAAAACCCTCAGAAAAACCACATTGGGGTGTTAAGAGCAAGAATTAGGGGTCTGAGGACATGTAGACAGGAAGTGAATGTTTCCAGTCTCAAAGCTTCGAGACCTTGGCTTGTCCAGTCTCTGCCTCCACATTGCTGCTCCAGGATCTCACGGTTGAGCCCCAGGGAAGGCTGATGCCTGGCCAAATTGCAAAGTGGGAAACACTTACTGTTTTTCTCTTTACCCTCTCTTATTTGTCTCCCATTTAACCTCATTTCTCCTTCCTGATTCAGGGCTGCTGAATTGCCCTGGTGCTCCTGCTCCCAGGAGAAGATCTGATCAGCTGAAATACACTAATGGAAGGGGGCTTGATGGTCAAACATCCTCTAGGAGCAATGAGTGATCAGAAGGGATGGACAGGATGGAAACATTCAGAGCCCGATGACAGGTAGGTGGAGGCAATAAATAATACACTGGTACCGAGGACTTAGAACACTTCTCCTCTGGTCATATTTAATCTCTAGTAATTTAGGCTTCATTATCCTTCCTATGTTACAGATGGGCGAAGAAGAATATTTCTCAGAAGGTTGTTGTGAGGATTGCATGGGTCAGCATTGCACAGGGCTTCGCACGGGGCCTGGAGTAATGTCTGAGAGCAGTGGAGGTTAGCCATGGTCATCAGGTGGAGATGGTCGTTATTGGTTCTGCTTGACTAATGCTCACCCTGCGTTGGCCTCCCTGTGACCAGGCTCCCAAGGGCCATCTTCTGGGCCTTTTCAGACTGAAGGCTGAAGTCCTCAAGTGGCCCTTTCCATGATCCAGTCAGAAGTCCTGGGTTCTGGTCCTGCCTTGGCACTTTCTAGCTTTGAGCCTTATTAGTATCCCAGGTTGGCTATTAACCCATTTTCTTCTTCATTGAAGGGTTTCTTTGTCCAAGAAGCTGCATAGAATCAGGTGCACTTTGGGGAGTACATTGTTTTACTTGCTATCACCTATTGACAATATTAGTCAAGAATAATATAGGATTGTCTTCAGCTTTAGTGACATATCTTGGCTTTTGATTGTAGGGACTGATATAGGCTGCACAAGCTTAGGATTGGCTGCAGGTTATTGGCATTAATACGGAAGCTGCACCTTAAGCCTCTGCCCCAGTCATGACCCTTTGGTGAGTCAGAGAGCAGTTTCCCAGGGGTAAAACTTTGATAGGGTTTGACACACACCTGTAGCGTTGGGGCTCCTGGACTGATTTGCTCTCATTCCGGAGAAGCTAGGTATGTATTTCCGTTGTAGAGGACAGAGAAATATTCCAGACAACCACCCCTCCTGGCCAGGGAGGAACCCAAGGCTCAGGGCTGGGCACTGCGGTTGGTGGGGCTGGAGGGGAGACGAGGAGGACTGATGTCTGAGTCCTGTCAAGGGCAGGCTGAGGAAGCATGTGGCATCAGCAGCATCATGTTCAAGGCCTGGGTGGAAGCGAAGGTTGTGCCCCACCTCAGGCAGGATAGAAGGCTGGGAAGAACTCTCTCCCAGAGAGAACTCTCCATACACAGAGCCCGGAGGAGGAGTCTGGGCTGGAGTGGGGGCTTATAGGTTCTGACACGTTTCAGTGCTAGAACCTAGGAATGGCCTTAGTAGACAATGGTGGTTTTTTGGTGTGTTTTTTAATCTAATCACTGTCCTCCAAGTGACTTTGGATCAACTATTCTAAAAGCCAAGCTATTCTTTAAGTAGCTTCTAGGTGATAGTCCAGTGGAGGGAGTTTATTTATTTGGTAACTTGAGTTTTGATGAACAGTTTCTTGTTCTTGGAGGATACCCCATTAAGGTATGAAATTCAAGGTCAAGTATTCTATGGATGCTTCACCAAGATTTTTTTTAATGCCTAAGAGGAGCACTGATTGTACCTGCTTTCAGTTTGTTCTGTTATAAACAGTCTTAATTATGTTCTGTTACACAGAGGTTTGGGGTCTTGACCATTGGTGGTGACCAAATTATTCTTTTATTGAATATAATCTTGGTCCCATTTGGAGGGAGTTTCATAGCTCTCCTCAGTCCAGTGATGGAGATAGAAGAGACTTTGTTTTAGATACATGTTATGGGGTGCCTGAAAGTGGGGTCCAAGCAAACTGCTCTGAAAGGGTTGTCTGGGAAACAGAAGGTATGGGGGACAAATGCAGTCTAAGGCTCTTTAATGGAAATCATAGTCTTTAATTATTAAGTCACATTTTTATTTGTTAGCAAGTGCCAGCTGGTTGAGGTACAGAGCTCAGAGGAAGAAAGACCTTAAACCTTAGCTCTTTGGAGACCAGACCCTCCCTTGGCACCATCAAATGCCCTCTTATCTTCCCTTCCACTTGGTACTCTTCTAATACAGGGGCTGTGAGTGTTGGACCATTCTCTTATCCTCTTAGATTCATGTGAGTGACAGAAAGGGAACCGGTTGTCTTACCAGAGGTGGGGCTTGGGAAAGACCAGCCTCCATTTGCAATTTTGTCTTCCTCCCCCGCTCCCTCCCCTTCTGATTGTTCTAGAATCCTGATTTCACGAGGAGAGCAGGGGCTCTTGTAGAGAGATGCCTGGCCAAGAAAACAGGAGTCACCAAATCAGTGTAACTCATTTGGTGCCCCTGAGCAAACCTCTTCACCTCTCAGGACCTCAATTTTCTACCCTGTAAAGTGTTAAGAATGTGTATTTAAGGTTTGTTGTATATATGCCCATGATACGGGATCCCTAAGGCCTCAGGACTCCAGACATTTTCTGATTTGTCCCAAGGTGGACAGAGAGGTGAGTATACCTGATGAGGATTTAGGTCGTAGTGAGTACAATACACTGAGAGGAGCTGTGGCTTCCAAGGACTCAGTGAGGTTTACACAAAGGCTGCAGGCTGGGTGTGCAGCATCTCTGTTCATTCTGCTAGATGCCTGGGTTCTGGTGAGGATTAATGTATGTGTGTGTGTGTGTGTGTGTGTGTGTGTGTGTGTGTTTTCATTTTTATTTATTGATCGATTTGAGAGAGAGAGAAAGAGAGAGAGAGAAACATTGATTTATTGTTCCTTTCATTGGTTGCGTCCTATATGTGTTCTGTCCAGGGATGGAACCTGCAGCCTTGTAGTATCAGGATGACGCTCTAACCAACTGAGCTACCTGGCCAGAGTTCATATATGTATTTTCAATGAAGGAAAGAAGAAGAGAGGATGGGTGGGAGGGAGGGGATAAGAGATGAAGGGATGGAGTAAAGAGGAGAATCCCATTGCCATCCCATAATAAGGGTACAGAGAAGCCCTGAATGGCCCGCCTTTCTAAAATTACCTCCCACCCTTCCTGAGCTATTTTTCTTTTCTTTTCTTTTTCTTTCTTTTTTTTCTCTTTTTTTTTTTTTTTTTTTTTTTTTTTTTTTTTTTTTTTTTGAGGAGGCCTTTCTAAAAATTGCTTCTCCTTCCACACCTTAGTTGTCTCATTAGAAAGACGTTCCCTCAGGCAGGAAGTCCTCACGTCGCCTCACCCCCAGCAGGAACAGCGAAGCCAGGGTTGGAAGCCACTGAAGAGGGACTAGGCAGGAAAAGCCTGGGTGGGGTTGCGTGCAGGCAGCGAGCCCTGCCGAGCTGAGGGCCCGAAGGATCAATGTGATTCTGAAGGTGATTGGCAAGGGTGGAAGGAGGAGGCAGGGCGCTTGGCCTAGGCTTTGCTGGGGCCGTCTTGGACGTTGGTCGCCATGTTGTTCGCCTGGAGCAGGAAGGCCGTGTGGGCCATGTCAGCTTCCTCCTTGGAAGACTGAGGGGGAACGAGAGAGGAGTCAGTGTTTGGAGAATTCGCTCAGCAAGCGGGGTTGGAAGGAGAGGATGCACTAAATATCCTGCGTCCATCATCCTGGCCCCGCAACCCAAGCCTGTGTTGACTGCCTGTTCTTATGCCAGCCCCCATGCTTACCAACAAGAAACGGAAAGTCAGCTTCTAAAAATATCTCCCTCTGGTCTCACTACCTCCTTCCGACACATGGAGTGGAACCCTCTGCTGCCTGGGCCTGTCCCCGGAAGCTCTGCCCACACAGTTCATGAGGGCAAGGGGTCTAGGCTGGCAGCAGCCACGTTGGGTGAGTGGTCCAGGCTTCCTCTACCCGCCCAGGGACACAACACAAGACTGGAGGGGAAAGGCTGTCTCCAGAACTAACTGGTTCCCATCATTGTTCCAAATGCGGGGCTTGGCTGCTGTGAGGGAGAGCAGACCTGATAAACACTGTCACCTTGGGGTCAGGGAGGCTGAGGGGAGGGTGATAGTGACCCAAAGGCAGGAGTCCCCTCTGATAGGATTTCAAGTGAAGTCGCACTTGGTTGGGGTGAGGAGGGACATCTAGTGACTATCAGATTGCCCACCAGCCTTAAATGTCTTCCAGGCCCAGGCAAAAGGCCAGTCATGAGCAAACTCTCAAGGGAGGGTGGGTGACATGAAGCCCATGGGCCCCAGCCCAGGAGGAGCACCTGCCTAATCACCAGCCTTTCATATTTGACCTTCCCATGCTGCGGCCAAACTTCATGCACTTGCCTTGCTCCTCCCCAGCCTCCCTCCCTCCTGTGTGCATTCAGCCTATAAACATAGTGCATCTACCTGCCCAGTGCCACGCCAGTAAAGTGCGTCTCAACCTCAGACATTTCTCCTGAACACTGCTCATCCCGCCTTCCCTGCTCCGACACAGCCCTACTCTGAGGTAGTTTTTCCTGTCTAACTGCGGTCCCTCATACTGTGTTTCTTTGTCACCCAAGGGAGGCCTCCTTCCCCCTCCTCACCCTTACCCTCTTGGCCTTCTTGGGCTCTTGGGTCTCCACAGTGTCCTTGGTGGTGGCCGTGAACTCTGTGTGAAGAGAAGGGGGTGAATTAGCCCTCACTAGTCTCCCATTCCCACCCCACACAGAGTCAGCTCTAATTCTTTTTTAAAAAATATGGTTTCATTGATTTTTAGAAAGGGAGGAAGGGAGAGGGAGAGAGAGGTAGAAACATCAATGGTGAGAGAGAATCATTGATTGGCTGTCTCCTGCACGCCCCCCACTGGGGACGGAGCCTGCAACCCGGGCATGTGCCCTGACTGGGAAGCGAACCAGCGACCTCCTGGTGCATAGGTCTATGCTCAACCACTGAGCCACACCTGCCGGGCAGAATCAGCTCTAATTCTTGCTCTCCCAGGGGTCAGGCATCCTCTCAAGTGAGGGACATACCATCTTCTCCTCCGAGAGATGTCTCCTGAGTGATAGTGGTCGTAGAGGCTCCCATGTTGTCATTGGTTCCAAAATCCCTGGAGTTCTCCAAGTCCGTCATGCTGAAGTCTGTCCTGTAGCTTCCAATCGAAACCCGGTCTGTCAGGGGAAAGAGGGGTTGGTGTAGGGATGGGATTGAGGACATATGAGAGCAGGGCGTGCTGCTTCTTTCAGAGGGAGCCCCCCAGGACAGCTGGGGGGAGGGGCAGGGTCTCTGGCTGCTCATCTCTGTGACCCAAAGCAGACTGGAAGTGTTATGAGTCTCCTCCCAGTCTCTGTTCATGAATAATCAAGACTCACTAATCCCTGGTCTGTTTGTCATTCTGAGACCTTTCCGTGCACAGCGCCTCGCGTTGTCTTCTCATCAGCCCTCTGAGGTGGTATGATGATCTCTGTCCTGAACCGTGAGGTGTGAAATGGGACACCCAAAGTCACACATCCAATCAGTTCTCAAGTTAGGCTGGAAGTGCAGGTGCCCGAGCACCCTGCTGTTCTCTTTAGCAGCTCTGCCTCTGAACTTGGACCTGAGCCAGCGGGGGGTGGCCTTCCAGAGATAGCAGCACTTCATGTAAGTTTGGGGCCCCTGTGGGTTTATCTTTCCCCACCCTGCTTCCCCTGAACCTCTTCTTGAGTTTATGAAAGAGCAGAGAACATGGTAGCCCCCCACCCAAGGGGTGGGAGGTGGGGGGCAGGGAGCATCCCAGGACTCACCAACATTCCTCCTATGCCGGGCTCTAACCACCGCCACCGCCATGGCCCCCAGTGCTAGCACCAGGGCCAGGGGCACCAGCGTGGAGACCAGCACTGTGGAGCTCCCTCCTTGTCCCGCCGAGCTGGAAGAGAGATTGGGTGCATTCGTCATGGAAAAGGAAACCTGGGTGCCCCGCGTTGTGCTGGCGTTGGCTAGATCTTCCTCTCAGGTTGATCCAGACCTTCCTCCTGTTAGAACCCTCCAGCTCCATTGTGCTAAGAAACCTTCCCAGCCACGGCAAAGACAAGGGCTGGGCCTTCTCTGCATCCCAGACCTGGGAAATTGACCTGGGCGGTAAACACTGCCCTAGCCCCTGGAGAAGGGCCGAGAGCACCAATGGCCTCTCCCAAGCACCACAGTGGCAGTGAGGGCTGCCCCATGATCAGGAAGCGGACAGGCTCTCCTGCTCAGACCTGGGGGCCCAGCCTCAGGTCCTTGTCCTCTGAGATGCTCTCTGAGTGAGAGCCCCAAATCCTTCCTCACCTGCCAGAGTCTGCAGATGCTTTGCTCCTGTCCTCTGGGTTTCCATTATCCTTCACTGGTTTGTCCTCTGCAAAAAGGCTGGGATCTTTAATGACTTGGTTCTCGATCACCTTGACACGTGGCTCTATCACCTTGACAGGCGGCTCTATCACCTTGACAGGTGGCTCTATCACCTCCTTGCCTGGAGCCGCCGCATTCACTTGGCTGACATCTTGGAATGCTGGAGAGAGCAGAGTGGGGCTGAATTGTGGCTCTTTACGTTTGCACTTCTGAGGCTAGGGAGTCTGAGGAGTGGGACTTTATTGTGACTCACAGGGTCAGAGTGAGATTTCAAGGCTGTTAGGGTAGGGACCAGGATGACATTAGACGTAGAGGAATGATGGTCTCTTGTTTGTCACAAATGACCTCTGCCCCATTAATACCAAATTCATTCTTTATTCTCATCTACAAGGCTCCGTATCATAGATCCAAGTGTGCATAAGGGCTGACCCACCCATCATTTGAGAACAAGGAGATTTTTCACAGCTTTAAAACCCTGCCCAACGCCTCCTGACTGTAGGGCTGGGTGCGATAGTGCTGCCCCCTGGTGGGAGCATGGCACTTTGTTCCTCAGTGAGGCAGAACAGTAGGCCCCAGACAATTGCATTTCTAGAGGGACTAAAAATACCCGCATTAGGGATAAAACATTTCAGGTGACATTTAAGAAAGAGGTGTAAAAGGCAAACTTACTAGAAGAGGTGGCCTTAACTTTCTTTCTCAGACCTTGCAGGAGAAGGCATCTGTCTATAGAGACCCGGCTTTGGCAGAGTGTATTGCATATGACAATGACTTAGAAATTTCTATATAAAAAGGAAGATCTCTACATATAGAAAGGTTTTCAAATGGCCCAGAGGGGCAACTATGGGACTTGTCTTGAGGTTAAATGGCAGGCCTGCTATTTTTTTCTTGGTTTGTGTATTTATTTGGGATGCCCCTTTTGGAGGGCTGAGACTCTGTGGGGGCTAAACCTCTTCTATCCCAGCCTCTTGGAGCCAAACCTGGGCCCCCACCCAGCAGGAGCCTTTATCTGGGGTCCCGGGGGAAGCAGGCCTTGGCCTTGAAGACTCACCCTTCGCCTTCTCCTTGACCTCCACGTAGACAGCCACGGTGTCTCCGAATTGGGGCCCATCCTTCACCCCACACCAGTACCAGCCCGCATCCTCCTCGGTGACTGGTTTCAGGATCAGGGAGGTGAGCTGGTTGTTCGGGTCACAGTTCACAGAGGCCTGCCTGGAGGCCTCGTTTTGGCTGGGCAGGACCTTGCAACCTTTGTTGCTCCACTTGCACCAGTATTTCTCGTAGGAGAAGAACTTGCATGGCGAGTGGCAGGGCACCTTGAGAGTGTCTCCCAGCCAAGCAATGGCTTTCTCGGGTGCCTTGAGGTTTGGCTCTCCTGGAGCAGGAAGGGAGGGAGGGAGAGAGAAATAGGCACAGAAGTTGGCACTGGTGACGATGCTGCAAGGAAATGGCTGTGGTGGGGACCTTGGTCCAGCTCATTTCCTTTTTGGACAGCATTATAAAGAATGGCATTATAAGACATGTAATTATGCACCCAGGTAATAATTTTTAGGAGTGACCACCAGGAAGTAATCAGTCTATCACAGAACAGAGAACCTCGCACACTGGCTTCAGTTGGCTTTCCTTGTTCTTCTTTCCTGGACTCAATACAAAGGCTGGGCTCACTTCAGATAGGATGAGCTATGTGTGCGGTAGTCTGGAGTGAAGGCCAAGAGCTGGGAAGGGTGCTTGCTGCAGGTCTGAAAGCATGACCTCTGCACAGGCAGGCTCTCTCCTGGGGTCTGTCCCACCAGCATGGAGGTGGGTGAAGTAGAAGAAGAGTGGTAGGGGGTGATGCTATTGCTGACTAGAGGAGCACTGGGCTGCCTCCCTTCCCACTTGCCCAGTTCAGCTCCTTTTTTTTTTTTTTTAATCCTCATCTGAGAATATGTTTTTCTATTGATTTTTTAGAGAGAAAGAAAAACATTGATAGGTTGCCTCCTATATATGCCCCAACTGGGGGTTGAATCAGCAACGTGGGTATGTACCCTGACCAGGAATCGAACTCACTACCTTTTGGTGCCCGGGCTGATGTTCCAATCAATTGAGCCACCCAACCAGGGCTTACCTTCCACAATTTTGAGCTCCACTGTGAACCACCAGCGAGTATCACCGCTGGTCAGACACCAGTAGAAGCCAGCATCCTTGGTGGTGAGCTGGTTGAGAATGACCGTGTAGGTGCCATTGCCTGGCTCTTCATGCAGGACGAGCCTGCCCTCGTAGGGTTTGCTCTGCTCCTTAACCAGCCCCTCGTTGCTCACCAGCTGTGGGCAGCCACTGTTTTGCTCATTCCAGCGACACCAGTACTTCTGGCTATTTTTATCCTTAGGGTGGTAGGGGCAGAGCATGGCCACAGAGCCTCCTACCACACCTTTCATCACAGAGACAATACGTGGAATCGTCGTCTCTAGAAGGGCAGAGATGGCATGGAAGAATGTCAACATGGTCTGAGCAGGCTCTTCCCTGGTCTCACTCAGGGTGAGGTTCATAATAATGACCTCACCTGCCCCAGAAAGTGAGAAAGACATTCCTAATGTCACAGAGCCTGTAGCTGGAGTTGCCCAAACAGACCCCTGTAATCGTCACCGCTAGTCAGGACATCTTGCTCCTTCCCCTACCTTATTCTGAGCAGAGACTGGAAGGAATTTAAGAGAGACTACCAGCTCCTCTCTTTGCCTTCTTACAAAATCTTCCTGTATATAACTTTTGCCTGTTTATTCGCTTGTACCACAAAATTAGCCTGACGCATTTTCTCCAAATTAAGAAATTATATTTAGAACAGTGTGATTTAAAATACAAACTCTGTAGCACAGATAAGTTTAATTGTTGAGGACCCCAAGGGCCCTCCCAAAGAGAAGGACAGCCCTTCTCCAAGAAGTTCATACTGAGGTTCAGTGAGATCCTGGGTGACTGGAGTGGATGAGGAATGTGGTAAGGACCCCACGCCGGACAGAGAAATGATGCCCAGGGAGTGTGAGCCCCTTAAAAGGCACAAGGGCAGTAAGTACTGGTTTGTTGTTTCTTATGAGGATAACTCCATGCAGAGTGCTCTGGGGTGAGAGAGAGCAGAGATTTAAGTATTTCGCCATATTGGTGGCTCACCAAAGTAGAGCTTAGTAAGCCAGATCTTGCTGAATAACAATTAATCCTAAGAGATATTGGGGAGGAAAATTCAGAGGTAGGGTGTTGCCTTCCTGGGAAAGCTTTGAGAGCAAGACAAACCACTGATTCTATCATCTGAGTGTAAGTCAGGAGGAGCCATCTGCTAAGAGTCAGGGAGAAGGGACAGATGGGCCTGCAAGCCCTGGGATGCCATGTTCTGTCCTCACTGTGGCTCTCTGAAGCCCAGCCAATCTACAAGTCTTGCTTCAACCAGGAGCTTCACTCTCCGCATTTCTATCAACCAGGGACAGCCATCAGAATGATGACAGAGAAGAACTAAAAGATAACACGAGGCAGAGGCTGTGTTTCCTAGTTGTCCTGTACAGCTGCCCACAAAGCATCCAGTTCAGGGCTCATCTGTGAACAGATATTGTTGACTGACAGATGAAGACTGAATAGACTCACCGGGAGTGAGCTAGGCTCTCACCTGCCAGAGCGCCCCACCTCTTCCCTCCCCCGCTCTCGAGTCTCACCTTCATTGACGAAGAGTTGCCAAGCCTGCATGGGCGAGCCTTCCTGAGGCTCCCCATCAGAGTGGGCTCCACACAGGTAGCTCCCAGCATCCTCTTTCCTCAGGCCAGTAATATGCACACTGAAGAAGCCCTGGTTCTTGAGAGTAATCAGGACCCTTCCATCAAAGGCCTGAGCCCTTGTCCCCAGGGTGTTGATGACCACTTCACAGGCTTTATCTTTGTTCACCCGGCACAGAAATTTGGGCAGACGTGCCATTTCGGGGTCCACGGCACAGTCAAAGGTCGCTGAGCCCCTCAGGTCTCCATAAAGTAGCTCAGGCTCAGGCTTCAGCACTTTGAGGTCAACATTGCTTTTGTCACCTCTAGAATCATCCCCAGCCTGGCAGACATACTTCCCGGCATCGCTGAGCTTGACTCGGTTGATGATGAAGCTGAACGATAGTTGGCTGGTGTCCTGAATAGTGATTTGAACTCTGTTGCTGTACTCAGGGCTCTCATACCCAGTGGAGTCGGTGACTAGGACACACGCCTCGCCTGTCTTCTTGCACACAGACTTCCTCTGCATAGCATTCTCGGACGTGAAAGGGCAGTTGATGGTCACTGTTCTGCCCAGGTCTGCTGTATAGACTTGAATGCCGTTTTGGAGCCCGGGACCTGCAGGATGAGGAGCAGGAGGTGAGTTGTGATTTCACTTTCTGGAGACATAGGACTACTCAGTGTTCCCAGTGAAGGTCTGGGTGAGCCTGTCACCCTTACTGCTGTTTCCTCTGTGAAGCGCCTCCCCCGCCCCCTCCGCCCCGCAAGCTGGCATTAATCTTTCCATCTTCTGTGTTCTCCTTTTACTTACATCTATATCACATACATCCAGTCTTGTGTTTAGTTAATTATGTTCCCCACAGACTGGAAGTCCCTCGAGGACAGATGCTTTACACATGTTCAACTCCCATGCAGGACCTAGCATGATGCCTCTACATAGTAGTGTCCAAATTAACGTGCATTAAAGTGAGCAGAATGAATGTCAGCACAAGGGGGTGGATTTCAGTGTATTGTGAGAGAGTTTCTAAACTGTACAGCAGTCTAAACATGGAATGCACTTCTTTGTGAAGTAATGAATTTCTGCCATTTATAGTGTTTGACTGGTGGCTACATCCCCATCGCCTCCAGTGTTCTCCTGGCTGTCCTATATAGGGCCAACTTTAAGCTCTCCTTAGCTCTTAAGACTCTGATTTTATGAATCTCCACAACCACCTGAATTAACTCTTTATTGGGTCCACAGATAATACTAAGCACACCCCAAAACAGAAAAACATATCTTTGGGAATCCCTCAAAATGTCCTCCCTTAAGACCTTTCTCTTTTAATTTCCCTCCATTATCTAAAATGCCCTTGTCATTGAAACCTTGTCACAAAAATCTTTTTTTTTTTTTTTAAATTTTCTCAATTAGAACAGGCTTGTTCAAAGGCCTGTCCTTTCAGAGCCCTGGTCTTTGGAAAAGAAGTGGCCATATAGTTTATGCTGAGAGTGTTGATGGACTAATGGGTCTTGGATAAAAAATGCATTTGCAAAGAAGCCTTCTGGTGACCTGAGGTCTTGATCTAAAGGGTGCACTGGTAGCAGGAATTTAAGGATCCCTCTGCAACTCTCCCTGCCTTTTCTACATCCCTCAGCTCATAGACCTCCTGTCCCACCTCACCAAACACTAGAGTTGTTCTCCTAATGTGCTTGGAAGCTAGGGCCTCAGTAAAACCCTAAAATGTAATAGGCCCCAAAGATCTAGAAAAGTCCACCTGCCCCCCCTCCCCCCCCCCCCAGATAGGTGCCATCTGTCTCATTCTCATGTTTTGTTACCAAAGGTCCTTGCCTCCAGAGGGAGGAGGACCCACAGCCTTCCCCAACTCATACTAGGCTACCTTTCCCTCTCATCACATTCTTCCTCCAGCCCTCCCATTGCACCTGGGATGATTCCCTCTCACTCTCCCACAGAAGCCCAATGATCCTCACCTTGGATGACCTCCAGGTTCACATCAAAGTACAGGCCTTGGTTAATAATGCCTAAACCACACTTGTAGTGCCCAGTGTCATTCTTGGTGAGATGGCCAATGTCTACCACAAACATGTTGCGCTCTGGGAAATCGGTGATATTGGCTCTGCCCTCATAGTCCTTGGAGAAGTAGCTGTCCGAGATGAGGGTAGTGCAACGGCCCCTGGCTCCCTGCTTGCACCAGTACTTCCGGGAATGCCGGTTGACAGAGGTGGCTGGGTAGAAGCATTTGATGGACACTGAGCTGCCTTCCACTCTGCTCACCTCCTGGGGGCCGAAGATGGGACTTTTCATGGAGACCACTGTGGGGACAGAGAACAGAGGCTTTCTGAGGCCGTGGGAGGTAAAACCTGCTGAAAGAATGCCGATAGCCCACCTTAAGGAGATGACATTTCCACCCAACACACAGGCCTTCAGTGGATTATTTGCCTGTACTACAGCTAGACAATTGCTGCTATTGGGTAAAATAAGTGATTAATCATTAAATTCTAATGATAATTTATTAATGATAATCATTTGAAGGACAATGAAATGTAAACTTTATTTAATGACTAGAGACCCAATGCACGAAATTCGTGCAAGAGTAGGCTTTCCTTCCCCCGGCTGCCGGCACCAGCTTCCCTCTGGCACCCTGGACCCGGGCTTCCCTTGCAGCCCCAGCTTCGTCCAAAAGGACATCCGGTCTAATTAGCATATTATGCTTTAATTATAGATATCCCTTGGTTATTTAAAAAAAAAACAACACTTGTAGGGTGCTAAACTTTTGCATTTACTGTCTGTTATTTCCTTATTTTCCTAAAAAAACACATTCTAGATTATTTTTTTTCTAGATAAAAATATTGAGAGCCAGGAAGGATAAGTCATTTTTTTCCCAAACCCCATTCATCTCATAGAGATGTTTGGCTCAAGGTCTAGGTCTTTTTTATAATTCCCAGTGAAGAGCAGACCCCTGGCCTTGAAATGAGAAACTTCCATTTCTGTTCCTGATCCGTAATCTATTTTCCCCATCACCTGTGTGATCCCTTCTTGAGGGAATAGACTTTTTGAGAGGGGCATCCCTGGGGTGGGCCTGATCCCAGCATCCCCAGGGAACTGGATCCTGCAGGGAGTGGGCCGGGACCTGGCAGACGCACCTGGGAGAACAGCCAGCAGGCAGGTGAAGAAGAAGAGCGTCATCGTTGGTGGCTCCCTCTGGGCTGTGGGGCCCAGGCCAATTTCTTGCTTGGATGCTGAAAGACAATGACATGAAGGGATGAAGCTCCTATGCCTTCCAAGTCTACATGACCTTAGAGTTCTTGTAACACCAGTTTGGTGTTGAATCTCCAGTAATGGACATAAATCCTATTGAAAGAATGAATGGCTGCGCCTTTCCCATTAGAACTCAAAGTCTTGTCACCTCACAGTACTTTTCGTTCCTCCGAAGTGATCATGTATATTTTTATCTTCTCAGCTCATCTGCAACTTTCTCTGGGACGGGTCACAAGTACCATTTCTTCCGTATTTCCGCCTGGGAGGCACGGTCCTGAGCATGATCTGTCAGATCTCAGGAACGGCTCGCTGGATGGTTGGTTCCTACCAACATGTGGCCCCATCTCTCCGTCTCAGCTGCCGTCCTGGGAGGTGGAGGGGGGCTGCCATATTTTATGGTGTGTTCATATGAGTAAAGCAAGCCCCATAGAGAAAGCTTAGTAAGGATTAAAGTTTCAAATGTAACAATGATGGGCATAACCACCATCAACTGTTTTCTTACATGTTCCAGGCACTGTGTGAAATAATGTCGGTGTATTGTCTCATTGAAACTTGATATCAGCCCTTATGAGGTAGGGATTCTTATCCACATTTTACATAGGAAGAAATGAAAGCTTAAAGATTAAGCGCTTTTCTCAAGGTCGCAAAGGGTCAAGTGTGTGGGTGGGTAAGGTGGGCAAGATTTGAACTCAGCTTTGCTGGACTCTCATAACCTCTCCCACTGCACCGTAATTACACCTCAAATACAGCAGTGTGCTTATCCCACGAGCTTGTTCCTGTTATTTATTTATTTATTTTGGTTAATCCTCGCCCGAGGATATTTTCCCATTGATTTTTAGAGAGAGTGGAAGGGAGAGGGAGAGACGGAGAGACACATTAATGTGAGAGAGACACATGGGTTGATTGCCTCCTGACCAGGGCCGGGGAACCTGAAATCGAGGTATGTGCCCTTGACCAGAATCTAACCCGGGACCTGTCAGTCCGAGGGCCGACGCTATATCCACTGAGCCAAGCCTGCTAGGGCCTTATTCCTGTTATTTTAGACTCCTCATTGCTCTAAAGCCCTGTCCTTTACACTATTTCTCTGAAGCTTCATAACTTCCCTTTAATAAGACAAAACAGATAGAATTATAGCCATCTTATGCAGAAGAAAATCAAGATCTTGAGATGCTAAATGATACGCCCATGATTCCCCAGAGACTTGGTTCTTGCTATCCTGCCTGGAGCGCCTGGGCAGACGAAAGCCACTCAGAGGGTGCAGCGCACGTGGACCTTGTCGAGTCTGTGGACACAGCCCAGAGCTGGGGAGAATTGAGGGTCCCAGGGCCCAGTCTGACCACAGCTGTTTTTAGGACACAAGCTGCAGCCCAGGGGAGGAGAGGGGAGTCTCCGCTTTCCCACAGACTCTGACAGGCTTTAAACTTTCCAATGAACTTGAAAGCAAGAGTGTTGAAGGAGAGAAACATGTTAACTGAGCTTGGGCAATAATGAGCCACCCCAAACATAAGGAAGCTCAAAGCAGTAGGGAGTCAGGACCGCTCTCCCAGGCTCCCCTTACTGCCCAGCCCTCACTGCCCAGCAGCAACTCCCTTCGCTAGCCTGAGCCAAAGGCAATAGAGCTGTTTATCTTGGTTATTTCTTTTCCTTGGGGGAATTTCCCAGCAAGGAACCTTTTTATTTCCTTGTGTAGATAAAGGTACTCTGTTTCTCCAGTTCTTTGGAAGAGGAAGGGGAGCAGGATGGGGGGTAGGGGGGTGGGGACAGATATGGGTGTCAGGTGGCAAGTTGAGGCTCTTGATTCTGGTTAATTGCCCTGGACCGTTCACACCAGGCCAATGATTAACTTCTGGAGTGGGGCCTTAGCCAAAGGCCACATCAGCCCCACCCTGGAGGGGCTCAGGGGACGCTGGAGGGGGGACCACCTGTTTGAGCAACTGGAGTCACGGTGAGGGAGGCTCCCAGGTGGGAGTAAGTGTCAGAAGGCTGAGAAGTCTGTGTCCTCTGGGACACATGGCTGCAGAGTCTGGGGGAATCTACCACCTGCCATTTGCACTGGCCTTGGGTTCAGTGGCAGGTGGGAGGACAAACTGCCACTTGCTGTTTTAAGAGCCACCAGCAGTGGCTCTCCATGGTTCTGGTTCCTATTCTCTATTTAGATAAGCCAGCTTCTTAATATTTCTGTGAGACTGGAGTGAGTCTTCCCATGGGCTGAGCTGGGGATGCAGCCCTCCTCGAATGGGTAAAAGCGATTGGCCCTGGTCACAGAGAGTCAGATGCCAGGGTTTGCAACCGGCATCCGGATGTTCAGCCCAGGCTTCCTCTCATGTGTGACATGTTTGGATGGCTGTGGGTGTCCGGGTTTGGGGAGGATACACACGTGTACCCATGACTCTTTGCACAGCCATGGGCCAGAGATGCAAGCATCAGGCATGCACAGCTGGAAGGGCAAATCTGGCAGAGGGTGGTCTTGGAGAGGAAACACAGTCTAGTCCCAGGGGAGATGATGGAAGGGCAAGGGCGCCCACTCTCTCAGGAATAGGAAATCTTTGCCCAGAGCTAAACTAGAAGCACAATTTCTCTGCTAACAGCCGAAAGAAACTTGGGCTTAGAGAATTATTAGGGATCTCTTCCTTGTGAAATCAGACTTCCTCTCCAGGAAGGATTTGCTTAAGGAAGGAAGGAAAGAACATAACCTTTAGTGGGTACCTCCTATGCACCTGGTGCGTTTCTAGCCTCTTTTCTTACATGGCTTCATCCGTCTCCACAACAGCACAGAGGCAGATACTATTATCTTCATGTTGCTGATGGAAAATCCAAGCCAGGGGTCCTCAAACTACGGCCTGCGGGCCACATGCAAATACAAATATTGTATTTGTTCCCGTTTTGTTTTTTTACTTCAAAATAAGATATGTGCAGTGTGCATAGGAATTTGTTCATAGTTTTTTTTTTTTAAACTATAGTCCGGCCCTCCAACGGTCTGAGGGACAGTGAACTGGCTCCCTGTTTAAAAAGTTTGAGGACCCCTGATCCAAGGGTAGCAGGGGTGGGCAAACTTTTTGACTCGAGGGCCACAATGGGTTCTTAAACTGGACTCAGAAGGAGCTGCGGCCGTGTTTCCCGACGTTGCCATGTTAACACTGCTGCTGGTGAAGGAGCGGAGGGGAGAGCAAGAGAACCCTCCGCTCTTTCGGCTCCGCAGGCCGGATAGAACAGCCGAACGGGCCGGCCCGCGGGCCGTAGTTTGCCCATGGCTGGGTTAGAGAGATTCTTGGCCCCAAGACCCATAGCAGAATTGGATCACTACCCTGTTATCACTCCTTGCATGAGCAGAGGGGCCTCTCCTTTTGGGATATACATAGGCTGGTATATCACACATGAAAGTACCTTTCTAGCCCTTAAAATAGGAGTTGTTTTTCGCTGCTGAGGCTGGTGTAATCTAGATCATTCTCTTTTTACCAAGCCACTGCCCTTGATATATTCATAATATAAGTCTACACAGCTGTGGAGTGGGGCATGGGTATGTGATGTGCTGGAGAATAGTGATTGTCTCCTTATGAAATTAACCTAGCTAGCTTCTGTTCAGTTAGTATAATTAATTTTTAAAAAATATTTTTATTGCCGAAACCGGTTTGGCTCAGTGGATAGAGCGTCGGCCTGCGGACTGAAAGGTCTCAGGTTCGATTCCGGTCAAGGGCATGTACCTGGGTTGCGGGCACTTCCCCGGTGGGGGATGTGCACAGGCGGCTGATCGATGTTTCTCTCTCATCGATGTTTCTAACTCTCTATCTCTCTCCCTTCCTCTCTGTAAAAAATCAATAAAATATATTTAAAAAATATTTTTATTAATTTCAGAGACTAAGGGAGAGATAGAAAGATCAATGATGAGAGAGAATCACTGATCAGCTGCCTCCTGCGTGCCTCCCTTTGGGGATCAAGCTCACAACCAAGGCATGTGCCTGACTAGGGATCGAGCCGTGACCTCCTGGTTCATAGGTCGATGCTCAACCACTGGGCCACACTGGGCAGAATGACTGATCTTTAGCTCTCATCGCTTGAGTCCAAACCTTTGTCCATCCAATGTTAGGCTTCCTCCCTTTTTGGAGGGTGAGGGGTCTCCTGAACAGGTCCTGGCATGGCCACTGCTGAGCTACCTGTCCTTTAGCAATTCTGGGCTCTTCATTTGTTTGGTATACAGGAGAGGGCCAGGGGAGCCCTCTCAGGGGTTTTCCAGCACTCCGGTGCAAGGCCCTCTGGGGATGGAGAGGTTGGTATTTCAGAGGGGCTTCAGAGGGGACAGAGAGCATGCCCTATGGGGACTTAAAGCCAAGTGGCAGTGGCTGACAACTTGTGAGTGTGAACTTGGAGGAGCAGAAAGCTTGGCACTCAGAGGCGTGAAGAGAGCTGGCCTGGCTGGAGAGGGGGCCTCCCTTGGCCTGTACTGAACAACCCCTTTCCCTACTCTTGAGTCTCATCTCTCATGGGTGCAGGGGCTGAGTACAGACCAAACTAGTGGTTCTCAACCTTCCTAATGCTGCGACCCTTTAATACAGTTCCTCATGTTGTCGTGACCCCCAACCATAAAATTATTTTCGTTGTTACTTCATAACTGTAATTTTGCTACTGTTATGAATTGTAATGTAAATATCTGATATGCAGGATGTATTTTCAGGGGCCGTGACCCGCAGGTTGAGAACCACTGGCACCAGATGGAGCCCAGAAACCACAGCACCTCTAGGGAGGGAGAGCAGTCTGTGTGGTTTGGAAGGGCCTTAGGCTTGTGATGACAGGTGAGAGCTTAGGAGAATTTATATAGTCTATGGAAGCCCTAGAGCAGCCGTGGGCAAACTACGGCCTGTGGGCCGGATCCGGCCCGTTTGAAATGAATAAAACTAAAAAAAAAAAAAAAAAAAGACCATACCCTTTTATGTAATGATGTTTACTTTGAATTTATATTAGTTCACACAAACACTCCATGCATGCTTTTGTTCTGGCCCTCCAGTCCAGTTTAAGAACCCATTGTGGCCCTCGAGTCAAAAAGTTTGCCCACCCCTGCCCTAGAGTGTGGCTGTCTCCAAGTAAAGGCGATGTCGAGGGAAAGGAATTGGAACTCCAGAGGGCAGGTAGATGGAGAAAGAATAGCCGAGGGGATTGAAGAAGGTATGAGCTAGAAAGATCCAGGACTTTCTGGTCCTTTCCCTGTCTAAGTGGCCTACTATCAATGGGAGACTAAAGCAGAAGTTAAGCATTTGAAATACCAGCTCCATGAAGCTCTGGGAATAAGCCTTTCAACAAAGACTTAGAATCCTTGTTATTGGCTCCATCCCCCTCTACCTTGATGTGTAGGTATTTATCTCATCCACCGTGCCAGAGAGCAGCTCCTTGAAGTCAGTGGCCAACTAGACCAATCTCTCCATCCCCAGAGGGCCTCGCACCAGAGTGTCTTGCAAGGACCAGCTGCACAGCAAAGGCCGATGGGATTGGGAATGTTACATCCTCTTAGCTCCCCTTTGAGAAGGAAAATGTCAGAATTAATTTCTCTCACTTTGCCAAATGCCTTCTTGGTCCTGGGCACTAAAGGGACAGTAGCGTGAAGAAGAGCCTGGAGGATGGAGGACAACCCAGAGGCCAGAGCCCTGCTCTGTCACAGGCTACAGAAGACCTGTACCACTGTGCTTCACTCCCTCAGAGCTCCTGACGCTTCTAGATCGAAGGGCTACCGTGGGATGGGGAAATAGGGAGGGGGATAGTGGGACAGTGTATATGGGGGCACTTTAAACAGTATAAAGTTCTCCTCAGCTTTAAGACGTTGCAATTACTCAAGCACAGGAGGACTGGGATCCGTGCACTTGACTTTCACGGTTCCTGTGTCCTTGGAGAGTGGCACAGAGCATGGGCTCATCAGCTCGGCTCTGAGCTCTCTCCCTTTGGGGCTGCATGATTTGGGGGCGGAGTCTTTAAATTATTTGAGCCTCAGTCCTCACCTGTAAACTGGGGATAATTGTACCGAGTGTAGAGTTGCTGTAGGGATGAAATGGAACAACATATGTAAAGTCTTTGGTATGGTGTCAGAATTTAAAAAGTGTTAGTTTCTTTTCCATCTCCTCTCTAAAATCAACACAGTCTCCTGTTTTTCTCATCTTAGAATGAGAAGAGAATAGAATTCTATTCACTGAGCATCCTTTGAAGAAGGGTGTGTGTATATGTGTGTCTGTGTGTGTCTGCGTGTGTGCTGCTCAGATTGGGGCCAGCATGGCCTGAAAGAGGAGACATTTGTTATGTACTAGGATTGGAATGGGGGACAGTATTTACAGTTAGCACACTCTGAGTAATTTCCTAGTGCTTTGCATATGTTAACTCATTTAATCTTTGCAGACACCCTATGAGGTAGAATTAAACAGGCAAACTCATTTCACAGAGGCACAGAGAAGTTATAATCTTGCCCAGCTGGTAAGTAACTGCGATGGGATTCAAATGCAGGTACTCTGGATCGAGAGTCTAAGCTCTCTGCCACTCTGCTATACTGCGGGGCCTTGACGTTGAGGGGAAACAGTTGGGAGAAGGAAATCCAATCGTAGAGAAGTTAGTTTCGTTCTCTGCCCTCCACCTTTCACAGAAGACTTAGTTCCAGCGGAGGAACACCTAAACCCAGAGGTAGCTGCCGACAAGACGTTTCTTCCTGGAAATAATAATGGCTGCTATTTATTGGGCACCTACCGTGTGCAGGGCATGTTACAGTTGTTTCCTGTAACCAGACACTCCAAAGCTTCTCTCTACCACGTCCTACTGTGTCAAGGCCAGGGTCTGGGCGACCGTGGCCTCAGCCCACTCAGAAGGGCGAGACACAGATTCGGGGAGTCTCTGCTAAGCACGTGCCTGGGTCATGCTACTTTTCAAAAGTTGGTTATTTCGTTTCTCAGGTGATGTCAAAATGTCCCCATGACCACATCAAATGCCTGGGCCAAAATGTCATCGTTGGTACATGTGGGTGACCCGACACCACTCGCACTAGCTCACGGAGTCTTAGTTTCCCGACTATAAGATGCGATTGTGACACTTACCCTGCCTACCTTCCGGGTGTGTTTCAGGCGGGAATGAGATTAGAGCTGTGGGTAGGTGGATTCACTACGTGGAAGTTGCTGCTGTCACTCTCTTTATAAAACAAAGCCACCAAGATCGAGGGCTGCCCAGGGAGAGGCAATGACTGCAGAGCGTAGATGCTCTCCTGACTCCTGGTGCATGGCTCTTTCTGCTGCAGCCCCACATCCAGGCCAGAAGGAGGCATGCAGAGCGCAGAGCTGCTCCGGGCAGGCCAGACAGCGGCCTTCTACCCTATCCCGGGAATCCGCACATCCCCTCTCCAGATGCTAAGGAACCTGTCATTCCCCTCATGAAGGGGAGAGGGACAGCTGTGTCCAAAACAGAGCCAGCAGCTCGGGCGACCCCAGGCCTCAGACAGTTGCAGGAAGGGAACTGGGGTGGTGAGGATGGAGCTTGTGCTGGAGGCGCAGGGCTGGCTTGGGGACCCAGTCAGGATGGGCAAGAGGAAGGGCATGTGGAGGAGAGGCCTATGTCTGCAGAGCCAGGAGTAGCATCGGGATGCCAGAACGCCAACTGTCCTGGGGAGCGGGTTCTATCCACCTTACTCGCTCACCCTGGGAGGATCTCATCTTCCCCACCTTAGCAAAGGCAGAACAATATGGTGCTACACCTCATGGAGCAAAGCTGGGTTGAAATTAGGCTCTCAGAGCTTCCTCGAAGCTCCAGAAAAGGGGCTGCATGAGCCCTCACCAGGAAGCTGGAGGAGGAGAAAGCGCCATAGGCTAGAAGAGTCACTGCTATGTGCCGGGCACTTTATACGCATTATCTTATCCAGGTCTGTCTGATGCTCACAAGTCCTTGAGTAACTGAACTAAGTCAAAAACACACCCAACAGTTGTTGCTTTTGCTCGGGAGTTTTCAAAGCAATTTCCCACATATTTGAACCTCACATTTCAACCTCACATCCACCCTACGTGATGGCTGTTATTTTTATCCACATTTTACAGGGGAAGACACTAAGGCTCAGAGAGCCACGAGGGGACTTGCCTAAGGCCACACACTGCACCTGTGGAGGCGCGAGCAGGGAACTCAGGGCTCAAACTTGGAGAACAGCCACATGTGCTGAGCACAGGCATCCCTCTTCCCACCTGCAAAATTCCACACACAAGGGGTGCGGGCCTCCACACACGTGCGCCCCTACCCATCTCTCTGGGATCTGCACCTCTACTCCCCAAGCAGGTGCTCAGTCCGGCGCTGGGAGGCTGAGAGCTGCGAATGTAGGGGGTTGCCTACGCCACCATCCCAGACCCTTCCAGCTGGCATCCCATCTGGGGATCCCAGAGCAGCCACACTTACTTTTAGAGACTTGCTTCTCTCGCGTCGAGTCAGTTTCGGGGGAACAGCCTGCTGGCGAGTCCACAAGCCCTGCCTTCCTAGGAGCTGCCAGCAGGACACTGGGCGCTGCTGCTGCCCAAACTGAAACTATGCACAGTGCTTGGCCCACACCTGGGTTCTTAAAGGGACACTCTCCACAGGCGTGGCAGCCAGCCAGGGCCACGTGACTCCCACAGATCCTTGCTTTCCTTCCCCTTCAGCTTTCTGGGCTGCCTCCACTGCTTCCCCTTGACCTTGGGGCGACTGTTACCTGGGAAGCCCCACATCATTGCAGCTATAGGGTTTGAGAGCATGAAGGGCCCTTCTGCCACTTTCTAGCTGCCAGGCCCCAGGCACGTCGCCTTCATATTTCTTTTCAGATTCAGGGAAGTAGGGACAGGAACACCAAACCTGAAGGTTGAGGGTATAACCCGATGTTAGATGTAAGACACCTGGCCCAGGCCATGGTATGATATTGGCATGGATTGGATAGGGCACAGATGGCAGGGATCGGTCTCAGCTCCCACTCACTTGGGAACACTGCCCCCCAGTCCCTAGGACACAGCCTGGGTTGAGCGCCCTCTACACATCTTCTGCGGAGCCCCCTGACCAGCGTCAGTGCTTCCGGGATCTAGGGGGACCGTGGCTCTTCCCTTTCCACTCCTAGAGGAATGAAGACGCTGGCTGCCGCCGGGCTCCCCTGAAATGGTGAACCTCTGAGTCTTGTCAAGACCTGGGCTCAGGGCCACATCAAAGAAGGTGCCGATCTATGAGCTGGAGTAGAAACCTCCTTCTCCACCTCAGCGAGTCCCTCGTGGCCTTCGGGTCATGACCTGGTCAGGACTCCCAGGTGTTCCCCAAATGATCTTGACAGTCCTGGGTCACACAGTGAAGCTCTCTCCCCAGCACACACATACACACACACACACGCCCCCACCCCTTACCCCACACCACACAGAATCCTGCCCCTTTCTACCTGTGCAGGGTTGGCCCATGCTCTCCCTCTGGTGTCCTGTAGGCCAAGCCCAGAGGGGAAGGAGAAGTAGAGTCCCGGAAAGCACAGGGCGGTCAGAGCCCGGGGGCTTATTTTAGCTCACCACTCACTCACAAGTGAGAACCCACCCACCGTCATGAATTTGGATGGCAAGTGAAGAAATTGTATTTTCTATTATGGAGCTTAATTTCCGACCCGAAATGCACAGCTTGACTAATGTAAGACTTAAATGACCTAGTCACTTCCAAGCAAACTGGGTCCAGTTCAACGGTATCTCAGTTACTTCGTTCCCAATTTAAAACTCACTCTCATTCTAGATGTTCTTTCCCTTTTGTCTCCTTCTCTCCTCTGGGACTTATGTTAAGTCTGGGGTAAGTGGGCCCACTGAATACTAGGACAGAGATTAGGTGAGTGAGGAGGGGAGGGCGAGAGGGGAGGGCAGGAAGCTTATCCATGAAACGATTGCTTCTCATGCTGTTTCGGGGGCCCCAGACCTTCTTCCATGTGCTTGTACTCTATGACGGTGGGGTTTCCTAGATCATGACCCAGCGTGTGTTCCCAGGAGTCCCCAAAACTATCTTAGCGGACCGTGTCAGACACATATGTGTGCGCACGCACACACACAGATATTCACACACACACACACACAGATATTCACACACAAGCACATAAAAGCACACATGGGTGCACACACACATGCACAGATACACACACATAAAAGTACACATGTGTGCGCAGATACACATACACACATGCACAGATACACTTCTAAAGCCCACCTGTTCTATGACCCAGCTTAGGGAAAGGGAAAATGAGAAGTAAAACCCAGGTAAGAACCAGGAAGTCAAAACCCTGCATCTTATTTTGGGCTCAGCCACATGCTGTGGTGTGATTGGAGTCCCCCAGCTTCCCCTCTCTCATGGTGGTTTCCCCATCTGGGACTCGGTGCCCCTAAAAGTAACCCCTGCATCCCATTCCTGGGGGAGGAGGAACTGGCCAAGAGGCCCAACTGCCCAACTCAGTAATAAGGATGGTAACAGCAGTCATTTACTTACTTACTTACTTCACGTGCTTAAACACTTCCTTCTCTTTTAAAATAATAGTATGAGGAGCATATAATAAGAAGTGCAGCTTCTCAATTGACTTTCATGACTCTGGACTTGGCATGAGTCAGTGTGGGGACACGCAGAGCCCTGGCCTGGGGTCAGAACTCCTGGGTCCTGGTTCTGGCTCTGCCTGCAGTTTGCTGAGTGGCCGCTGCCAATCGGTCCTCCTTTGGGGCTGTGATTATTCCAGCTGCTAAATGGGAGGGCTGGGCCAAGTGGTTTCCCGGGCTTTTCTACTTCTAGGATTCTGTTTTCACTGAGCACCGCTTTAGGGTCCTGGGGCTGCTGCAACAAGTCACCATAACCTCCGTGGCTTAAAACAACAGAAATGTATTCTCTCCGTTCCGGAGGACAAAGTCAGAACCAAGGTGTGGGCAGGGCCGTGCTCCCTCTGGAGCAATGGTTCTCAACCTGTGGGTAGCGACCCCTTTGGGGGTTGAACAACCCTTTCACAGGGGTCGCCTAAGACCATTGGAAAACACATCTATAATTACATATTGTTTTTGTGATTAATCACTATGCTTTAATTATGTTCAATTTGTAACAATGAAAATATATCCTGCATATCAGATATTTACATTATGATTCATAACAGTAGCAAAATTATAGTTATGAAGTAGCAACGAAAATAATTTTATGGTTGGGGGTCACCACAACATAAGGAACTGTATTAAAGGGTCACGGCATTAGGAAGGTTGAGAACCACTGCTCTGGAGGCTCCATGGAGAATCTGCCCAGGCCTCCCCTGGCTTCTGGCGGCTGCTGGCATCCCTTGGCATTCTTTGCCTGGTAGCTGCTTGTTCCAATCTCTGCCCTTGCACTCCTACTGCCTTCTCTGTGGCTGAGAGGTTTCTCTGCCTCTCTCTTCTAAGGATGGTATTTGGGGTCTATCTGGGTAATCCGAGGTGATCTTATCTCACAATCCTGAACTGAATCACGTCTGCAAAGACCCTTTTCTCAAATAAGGTCACATGTACAGATTTCAGGTTTCATGAGATGAACATGTTTTTGGGGTGGCATTTTTCAGCCTAGCATGGCATCTATTATGTTCATGACCAGTTCAAGGTCCAGGCAGATTTGAGACATACAGGAATGGGCATCTCTGTTCCCCAAGGGCATATGGTCTAATTGAGGAGTCATTATGTCGCCGCCACCACCAAGGAGAACAGTCAGGTGGCAGCCAACATGGAGAGGCGGGCAGCCTGTGGAAAGCTCACAGGCTCCAGGCCCAGCACGCCCAGGTTCACCTCCAAGCCTGCCACCTGCTAGCTAAGGGACCCTGGACAAGTTATTTATAAAATGGGGCTAATTATATTTACCCGGTATGTATGTTAAAAAGATTAAGTATAACGTGCATTGGCTGGCATCTGCTAGGTGCTTATCGATCAGCTTCAATAAATGGGACAGCATAGGCTTCCAAAGCAAAGAGTTATTCCCCACTGATCCATGAAGAACCAAGGGCAGAGAAGTGGAATGACTTGCCCAAGTTTACACAATGAGGCAATGGCGTAGCTTGGGCGGAGGCGGCGGGGGGGGGGGGTGTTCTAAAACCTTTTGAATTGTGTGTTCACAGGTAGCAAAGGACTCTCCTTTGCCCCTTTGATTGATCTTCGAAACATTGGAGAGGACCAAACACACAGGCCCACACAGGTCCAACCCTTCAGGGTGGCATCCTTAGTTTGATGCTTCAAGACCCTGGGTTGACCCAGCAACCAACTGAAGGGGAGATCACAGTCATACAGTTCTTCCCCACATCCCCACTGCCCTCCCAGCACCCTTCACTGGGGAAGGTTCCTGTGAATGAGGTATGTGAATGAGGTAAGAGGACAGATGGAATGCCCATCACTGCTGTTTACTGCCAGCTCTCTGCTCCCACATGCACATCTCTGGCTGAGTCAATGTTAAACCCCTGCCTGGGCTCAATGTTTAACCTCTGTTGGGAGTCAATGTTTAATCTCTGGCCAGCCAGCCCTGAAACCCAGCATTCCTCAGTAAGCTAATACTATAGAGTTATTTTAGTATCAATCACTGTAAGACAGAAGTGTGACAGTAAATCTACCAAAGCTAACTAGCCAGCCCCCTCCTCCATTTTTTTTTTTTTTAAGGATATTGACTGTTTGGGATAATCCATGCCCAAGTAGTTTCACCCTTGCCGTCAACAGATAATGATCTGGTATTTCCTCACTCTACTTGTCATCCATTGGCGGGAGTACAGCATCTACTCCTCCTGTTCTAGTGTCAACTTTTGGGCTGGGGGAGGGCATGGAATGGGGACTACTGCCCTTGTTGCTCAACTCAGTGCTGCTGGTTGGCCTTATGGTCCCTCGTGTGGTTGCTGTTTAGAATCCACCTGAGAGAGTGAGGATGGGAATAGCACATTTGGTTGGCTGGACTTGGGTAAACTTTTAGGGAGTTTCTGAGTCCAGACTTGTGTTCAAAAGCGGGAGCCTTTTGTCAGATGAGCTTCCCTGTTAGGGGGTAGGTAGGAAGACAACCGGCAGCATGTGTCAATGCCAAGAGCAACCTTAGTGAGGGACAAGTCAGAGGAAGACAGGCTGGTGGTGGGCATGTGGGGGTGTGAAAGAGGGGAGAGGGCTATGGCCAGATTAGCAGTTCTAGTCACTGGATAGTGTTGGAGAGCATGACATAGTGGCCAAATGTATGCATCTGAGCCTTAAACCATTTTTTTACATGAACTCACTGCATCACCTCCTTCTCCCTGACCACCTGTCTCCCTGTGTCACAGCCCAGATGTCCAATCCCTCGCCTGTTTTTCTCGCTCTGTTGACTCCCAACCAGAGAGTGAAAACTACATTTTTTCTGGGGCTTCCAGGATGAGGAGGTGTCTGTACTGTTTATTCTTTTGGCTGGTGGAGGAGTAAAGGCGGAGATGGCTGTGTCTTGCCCTGAGGAGGCTGTCATTTGTGGAGAGCAAGGAGTGAGGGGTGGAACTTGAGAGCCTAGCAGTGGAGCGCTGGCCTTGGTCCACGGCTCTC